GTGCTTCTTGTTTTATGTTATATACTTCAGTTCTGAATCTTTGGGGTGTGGTTACCATTCCGAATATGTAGGGGATAGTTATATATATATTCGTCCATTTTCTTCTACATGTACCTTATCTCCTTTCCCTTTTGCGAATTTGGATCTTTGAATACTCCCCTTTTCAGTCATTGTTATCTCAATTTGTTTCTATGTATGCTGAACATTCATTACTATCTTGCTATAGCAATTCTCTTCTTATTATTTAAGCTTATAATGCCGTATTCTTAGTAAGGGTTGCACTCCTCTGCTTCTATTTGCCTGATAGTCACCTTACTCCTAATCATGTATTTTGTTGTTGTTATTTTGTTTTAGGTGAGCTGACCCCTTTCAGAATTTCCTGTAGTGCAGGCCTCGTAGTGGAGAATTCCCTCAATTTTTGTATGTCTGAAAACATCTTAATTTCTCCTTCATATCTAAAGGAGAGCTTAGCTGGATACATTCTTCTAGGCTGGTAGTTCCTTTCACTTAATAGTTTAAATATTTGATTCCATTTTTTTCTGGCTTATAAGGTCTGCGCTGAGAAGTCCAATGATAATCTAATGGGTTTTCCTTTATACGTTACCGTTTTCTTCTCCCTGGCTGCCCTGAGAATTCTGTCCATTGGTTTGGTTTTTGATAATTTTAATATAACGTGTCTTGGTGAAGGCCTTTTTGGGTTGAGATAATTGGGTGTTCTGTTGACTTCTTGAATTCCAAGTCCAGCTCATTCCTTAGATTTGGGAAATTCTAGTCCACTATTTGTCTGAAAATGCTTTCTAGTTCCTGTTTCCTCTTCTTCGCCTTCAGTAATGTCCATTACTGGAGATTTTTCTCTTTCTTTCTGAGATGCCTTGTCACCTTGGTTGTTCATGGTGTTTAATGGACTATTTCTCTGCCTAGGCATTAATGATAGTGTATTCTGTTGTTTTTCCAGAAAGATTTACTATATAAAGGTCTCTCTTTAGCCTGCTGCAAAGAAGGCACTTTTCTTTTGGTTTCAAGTAGGTGGCATCTAAGCCTCTTGGATCCCTGATTTATTAAGAGACTAACATCTTTTATTGTAGATTTTAATCACACTTGCTCCTTTCAGTTTCAATCTCTATCAGTGTTAGCAACAGTTTTGGTAGTGTTTGCTCAGATTCCCCTGGGGCTACATGGTGATCAGTCTCGGAGGGTATTGGGGGAGGGGCCCTCTGGGTTGGGAGTTGGGGGGCTGAGGCTCAGCCTCAGTTTTGCAATCGCGGCCAGTAGAAATCAACTGTTCTCTGCAGTCCTGTACCGCTTCTCTGCTTTCTGCCCTAATGACTGAGCTGTCCTGCCGGCTGTATAGAAAAGTCCCGGTACTTAAAAGCAGGGCTGACCAGGGAAGTCGCTGCACCTTCACCCCTCCTTTTCCTCCTGCAAAGAGCTCTGGCAGCTGTGAGAGGTAGCTTCTTTATTTGTCCTAGTCCACTGCCCGACACCTGGGCTTCTGACCTGTGGTAGCTCTTATGTGCAGATCCCATGCTCAAACCTGCTGGTGTGCAGTTTGGGTGTTTTTTGTTTAGTTTTAGATGTTCAGCTTATTGTTGTTTCAAGAGGAGAGATCTGAGGATATCTCTCACTCCACCATGTTTTCCCAGAATCCCAACATTACTTCCTTAAATAACTTTTCAACTTCCTATTCTCACTCTTCTCCTTCAGGTATCCCTATGACACATGTGTTTTTACATTTAATTTTGTCCCGTAGACTCCTTAAGTTATTATTGTTATTATATTTTTTCTTGCTATTCTGCTTGAGAAAGCCTCGTCTCTCACCCAAACCAACAATTCAGCATTCCACTCTGCCCCCTGAGCAGCCAACCCGGTGCTGGTGCTCAGACTGAGCAAGGCTATCACTGCTAAAGTCTGGTTGTGGTCACAGCTCCTTAAAGAGGAATATCCAAAGCTTCCGGCTGAAGGTGCCAGAGCCTCTGTTCCACTCAGCTGCTCAGGATCAGGCAGCCTGTGTCTTTGCCCACTCCTTCCTCCTATTGTTGCAGGGTGGTTTATTTCTCTCCCTAGTTGTAGGGCTTCTGTTAATCCAGACCCCAGGCAACTCTGCTTGCTGGTTGCTCCATGTTTCCATCACAAATTTGATGTGGTCACAAGAGAGATGAACAAAGCCTCTATAATCTGTGCCATTTTGCCTGGTCTCCCATTACTCATATTGAAACATATTTCACCATTATTTATAACACAGACAACACCTGCAGCTCTAGTTCCTTCTAGAACTCTCTAGTCATCTTGAAGCTCTCACACAAAAGTGAAACCATGAAGCTCTGAAATGCGTATGGGAAGAAAAGTTTTACTTGGTGCAAAAGCAGTTATCGTTGGCTTATCAGCATTTTTCTTTTTTCTTTCTCTTCAGAGCTAGTTCTATGCTCACTGGTAATTTTTTTTTTTTTTTTTTCTCAACTCACATAGAACTTTTCTTTTTATCTCAGGAATGCTACGTATTTTAGAAAAGCCCTGACTGGTATCCTTTTGATTCAAGAACACCAAGCTCTTTGCACATTCTAACTGTATCTGTTACAATGCTTTTGCTACAATAACAAAAATTTAGAGTGGATTAAAGATTAAGAAAATATATTATCGTATATAATAAGTCCAGAGAGATTCCAGTTGGCTAATTCAACAGCTCATTGCCATTGTCATGAATCCTGGTTCTTTGCATCTTCCTTCATTGTCATTCCAGTGGATTGGCACTGCCTTCGAGTTGTTTCCCTAATGGTCACAATATGGCTGCAACAATGCCAGACATCATAGCTAAACCTAATGTCCAGAGAAAGACAAGGCAGTCACCTTTCCTTTGTTTCTCCTTTTTAACGTTAGGAAAACTTCTCACATTTCATTAGCCAGAATTTTGTCATGTTTCTATATAAACCAATCACTAGCAAGAGGAATGGGACCACTACGTGTAGATCATATCATGCAAGAGCCATTCCCTGGGGCCAGACATGGTGCTGGTCCCTAAAACACATAGCTTTATGAGAAGAGTGGATACCTAAATAGGTGAGTGCTCTGTAGGAAAGTGGGGAGTTGCACACCTTGTATTGGGATAGAGAACATGAAAGGAGAATCTCACCCTCTTTCCTAGTTAGAACTAAATGGAACCAGTTGGGAATTCCCCAATGACAGTGGTTCTCAAAGTATGGCATCTGCGCTAGCAGCATTGGCGTTTCCTAGGAACTTTTTAGAATTGAAATTCATCAGGTCCCACCCAGACCTACGGAATCAAACTCTGGGGTAGTGTCCAGGAATCTGTTCTAACAAGCCTTCCAGGCAATTCTGATGCACCCTAAAGTTTGAGAACTATTGCCCTACTCCAGTGGTTCTCAAATGGGGGTCATTTTGTACCCAGGGGACATGTAGCAACCTCTAGAGAAATTCTTGTTGTCACAACTGGAGTGTGGAGCACTACTGGCATGTAGTGTCAGGAGTCAGGACAATGCACAGACAGCCCCACGACAAAGAAGTGTCCAGCCCAAAATGTCAACAGTGCCAAGGCTGAGAAACCCTGTCCTATGCTACGAGGCTGAGGAAGCTCCTTTACAGGGGCTGTAGCCCACCTGGCTCTCCATATTGGATTCGGCTCTTTACGCCTAGGTGGGACAAGGACTAATGTCTTAAGGATTCTCAGAGCAGAAGAGTCTGATCAACTCTTCTTAGCAACAAGTTTTCAGGCCTTCAAGTCACCTAGGTAAGTCCTAGGGGTCTCACTTAAGTATTTATCTATGGCAAAGCAATAAACAGTATTTATCTTCAGGACAAAACACACACACACACACACACACACACACACACACACACACACACATTTTATAATGGGCACAGTCAATACACTCATTGAAGTTTCAGAACTGGCTTTTATGGGGGCCCAATTCCTCTCTTAGAAGGCTGACATGAAAACTTCTTCCACGCTTAGGAATTTTTCTGTTCAATTGAGACAAATGAGCTTCCATTGTATTCTACTATCTAGCTCTCCTGTGAGAGGCCTGAGGGTCAGAAAATGGAGATCAAACATCTAGTTCTAATCTACATTTCCTATATATACAAGAAGCGGGTGAGAAACCATGCATCTCTGTGGATAAGATTTGTCTCTCTGAGAGTTTAACATTAGAGGAAAGTAGCAAATTATATCAGAGTAGCTAAGGCCACAGTCAGTTCAGGCCAGACCACCTCATAACCTATTTTCGAATGTCTTACAGTACAACTTGTTCTACCACGATCTCCTCTGGCATTATTAACACACTTCTGGAAATGGATGTACTGGTAAAGTTTATTTACATTATGTTCTATCATATCAATCATATTTAAGTCTTGGAAATTTTATATTTCCATACAGAACCCAGTAGTACACTCCTGGGAAAATATATTTAAAAAAAAAACAAAAACAGGATACAATTAAAATGATAATTGGGTAGCTCAATGAACATCTGGCTTCTGAAGGGTCTCGTCTGGGATTTTAGAGTGAACTGTATCCAGAGGCTGCCAGTGGCAATTCATGAGAGAGTCGTAGAGTTCTTCACTTTTCACCATAAACTCTTTGTTTAATTCCTCGATATTCAAATGAAGATTTGGATCTGCCAAAGCCAATAATGCACATGAAAAAAATATATAGTTTTACAGGACATATATTAGAAATGTCTCACAATTTAAAAAAAAAAAACATTAGCAGAAAATATTGCAATGTTACAAATTTTAATTTGTGTCTTTCCTTTCAATAAGACTTGAAAATAGAAACTGCAGCTAAAAAAGAAGTAGTACTACCAGACTCAATGAGTATCTGGATGATGAATGAGAAGGATAAAATGGGCAGAATCAAGAGCACTTTTGGAGATGAATGGACAATATTTGGAGATGAAGTCAATTTGGGGTAAAGAGAAAGGGAGGGTTAAGGATGATTCCTGAGTTTCTGACATGAGCACCTGGGAGGATGTGGTGCCAAACAGAGAACCAGAACCAAGTCTCTGATAGGGTTTGAAAATATAAGCAGGCCGCTTTATCTGCTTAGTTAACAGACTAATATAAGTGAATAAATTATATATAGCAACTAATTCAGAAACAAAGGGGGAACCTGGACTTCCTTATCTAAAACGTGGAATCCTGTGATGAGGAAGTGGTGTTGTTATCATGAAAGCATCAGACCTAGATATTTATTTCAAGTTGCCAGGTTTCCAAGGTCTCCAAGGTAACTGACTTTTCAAATGTAGTGTTTATTTTTCTCCTTGTACTGAATGTATCTGAAGAAGCCCTGTCTGTTTTCCTTTATAAGTTTTGCAAGCTTTAGTTCATTCAGGGCCATAATTTGCTTTCTAACACAAGTGTTCATGCTATTTATTTGTATTTATATGCCTGTTATAGACTGTGCTCCCCACTCCCAATTCATATGTTGCACCTCTAACTTCCAATGTGATGGTATTTAGAGATGGAGCCTTTGGGAGACAATTAGAGTGAGATGAGATCACGAGGGTGGGACTGTAGTCCGATGTGATTAGTGCTCTTATTAAAAGGACACCAGAGCTTGAGATGTCTCTCCCCACATCACATGAAGATATGAAAAGATGGTTATCTGCAAGCCTGGAAGAAAGCTCTCACCAGAAACCAAATCAGCTGGCACCTGATCTTGGACTTCCCAAGTGTCCGGAACGACAAGAAATAAATTTCTGTGGTTCAAGCTACCCAATTTGTAGTAGTTACAGCAGCCTGAACTAATACAATCTCCTTCTGATTTTATCATTTTAGAACCAAGATCATCAAATAGCCCCTGCACATCATGTCTCATGAGCTACTTCTCATTTTCCTTCACTGGAACCAGATTGTGTTGTCTAATTCTTGTTCTTTAGACCAGCAGTCCCTGACATTTTTGGCACCAGGGACCAATGCTCCTATGAGAATCTAATGCCTGGCGATCTGAGGTGGAGCTGAGGCAGTGATGCTAGTACTGGGGAGCGGCTGCAAATACAGGTGAAGCTTCGCTCCCTGTCCCTCGCCTGCCACTCACCTCCTGCCTTATGGCATGGTTCCTAGAATTGGGGACCCTTGCTTTAGAGCGTCCCTTCTCTTTTGAACCATCTTTCTTTTGAGGCAGTTTATAAAATTAGATGTTTCTATTTTTTTTCTGAACTTTCTGAAATTTTCTTTCCTAAAGTCATGCCCCAGGGTCCTTTCCTTCACCCTCATGGACTGTTGTTTTACTAGAAGGCTCCTGACTGTGTGTTCCTGGTGGGGAGAGAGATGTCAAGACCACATGCTCATGAGCACTCTTTCTTCTGTAACTTGTGGCTGAGAAAACGAATACAGTATGGTCAGCTAGGAACTCCAGATTAATGATGTAGGCCCTTCCAGTGATGTTGACCATAGGGGTAATAGAAGCCTATAAAACACAAATTAATTACATCTTCCCTAAACTTTTGGACTCTCTAGACCCATGCTGTCCAATACAGTAGCCAGTAGCCATGTGTGGCTATCGAGCACTTGAAATGTGGCTAATCCTAGTTCAGATGTGATATAAATATACATTTTGATAACTTAGTATTAAAATAATTTATCTCATTAAATTTTTAAAAAATTAAATTTATTAGAGTGACACTGGTTAATAAAATTATATGGTTAAATATAATTCAGTGATACATCATTTGTATATTGCATTGTGTGTTCACCACCCAAAGTCAAATCTTCCATTACCCTATATTCTACCCCCTTTAGTCTTATCTACAATTAAATTTTCATATTGATCACATGTTGAAATAATATTTTTTGATATTTTAGGTTAAATTTAAAGTATCACAATTAATTTTTTTTAATTTGGCTAATAGAAAATTGAAAACTACCTATGTGGGTGGATTTGTGTTTCACATTATATTTCTACTGTACAGAGCTGCTCTAGATCTGTAAATAGCTAACATTTGAGTGATTATTATGTGCCAGACCCTGTTAAAACACTTAAAAGCACTTAGGAGCTATTGTCCTCACACTTCCTATAATGTAGGTTTTAACCTCCCATTTTACAAGTGGGGACACCAATGCACTGGAGATAATTTGTTTGGAATTACAGAGCTAGTAAGAGATCTGAACGCGGGCAGTCTAGATCTATAAAGCACATTCTTATTATATGTCTTCCTCTTGTTATTTTTATAGACTGTCTGCAGAACTGATGAAAGCAGAGAGAATACGCTCACTCTTAACCCAAATGAAATCCCCCTCAGAGCTAGAATGAATATCTTTTATTCATATTTCAATCAAAGTACTAAAAGGTAGAACTGCCCCATAGCATTTCTATTTAAACACCGAACACCAACTAACATGAAGACTTTGACTATTAAGATGGATGCACTCATCTTTGATAAAACCACAAAGCAGTGGGTGGGTTTGTCTTGTAGGGATGGGCTAAAGATAGGAAAAGAGACCAGATGGACATGCGAAAAGAAAAAGGCAAAAGTGTTCCCTGTATTTTTCTTCTATTTCTTCATCCAAACGTTTTCTTTCCTTCCTCAAATAAGACACATTCAGAAACAGGATTCTTTTCTGGGCAGACACACTTTGTTGTTTTCAAAACAGACCAAAAACTATAGGAAGCACCACCAGACACTGTAGAGGGAGGCTGTTAGGTCCCCCAGGAACTAATAACCCTAAGGAAGCTAGGAAGCCAAATCCACAGTAACTGCCTCATGCTTTTCTCTTAAGAAATCAAAAGTAAAGCATAAGTAATCCCAAATTAAGGAGGAAATGGATCTCGACCCAGAGAGGAGGCTTAGCTAAAGCAATTTCCAAAAACTAGACAAATTGCTAAAGAGAATGGCTTAGGCAACCTACACTGGTATTTTCCAGTATGATCTCTCAGTTTCTAGCCTGTTAAGTAAATGAGGAAACTGGAAATCGAGTAAGTTTCGTTTTTCAACTACTGCAACGCAAGATTTATGTTACCTTCTAGTGGGTCTTCATCTTGGTTTGCAGCCAGAGCTGTGGTTTCCTGTAATGAAAATCAGTATTTTAGGAAAAATTATTTTACTTAAAGATTTATTATCAACACGTGCTTTCTTGGAAAAATCTAGCTCTCAAAAATAATATCTAAAACACTAAACTCCCTTTAGATCAAATTTACTCTGAATTTTTATTAGAAGAATCTTTAAATGGTTTAATATTATAATTATTAAATAAGTGAACTGAGTCAACAGAAGAAAAGTAAGAAAAGAAGAGCAAGTCTGACAAAGGCCACTTGCCTCTCTGAAGTTTCTGAGAATTAACTGGGATCCTAGGTCCTGGGCTAGGAACCAGATCCAGGGGCCTTGGCATCCAGACTCCATAGTCCTTGTACTAGATGCCCTGGAGCTCTGCTCTTCCTTCTAGGTGACAATCTGCAAAGTTTCCATGAGCACATCCCTTTAGAGCCCTTCTAATGACATTCCCCAACTCTATGGCTCAGCTAAGGACCAAGACAGTAGCTGCTTGAGGAAATGCAGAGGCTACAGAAAAGCAATCCAATCAACCATCTTCTTACATAACGAGAGAACTAAATTCCAGAAGCTCTTCCAAAATATATCTTGGATGGTTAATTCATTTTCTGCTGGCTCTACTGGGGCAGTGTAAGTTTTTATGACTCTTCTTTATAGGCACCTGCTGGGAACCTGTCTTTGTTATGGATATACAGCTGTTCCAAGGAACCACCCCATTCGAGAAGGGCTGAGTTAGCCTCTGGCACCAACGACCTTATGTCAGCCTCCCTACCAATAAGAACAAGATTATATTGAAAGCCAAAGATTTATTATCTCTTCTTTTCAATCTATCTGAAAGCATGCCTCCCTTTCACTCTGAAACAGGTCCTGATCTGGACATGTGTGGACATGTGGACATGTGTGTGCTACTGTGGAGGAAGTGAGCAATAAGCTATGACATCTCAGAGAGGACACGATTTATTAGGGAAGACTCCAGAGAGGATGTGTGAGTGAAAAAGACACACCACAGAGCCTTACCATCTGGAAAATAAATGATAAGGTTACCATAAATTTAATGACACAATCAGTGTTTTGTTGTTTTTTTTCTATTTAGAAATGGCCAAAACAGCCAGAATCTGTGCTTATAATACAATGTCCAAGTAACCTCACATTTCCTCCTTTTCAATGCGTGCACTGGTAAATGTGAATCCTAACTCACTAGGTTGTGGGGAGCAGAAGTTGTCTGGAGACAAGATTCTCCCTGGTCTGAGGTTCACCTGGGCAGTGCATGCTGCCAGTAGTCCTTAAAGAAGGGCACATCTACAAACGGTTTTCCTCTGTTAGAGGCAGTTTGGGAAAGTTGTGCTGATGGACCCCAAAGACCTGAAAATCATTTTGAAGACATCCACTGCCTCTGATATTAAGCAAGACACAATGTCAAAATGGAAAGGGCTCTTAAGAGGCTAACCCCTTCACTTGGGGAGATAAGGGCTATGGACATGTGCGTGCTACTGTGGAGGAAGTGAGCAATAAGCTATGACATCTCAGAGAGGACACGATTTATTAGGGAAGACTCCAGAGAGGATGTGTGAGTGAAAAAGACACACCACAGAGCCTTACCATCTTGAATTTTGTCATTACTGGAAGCTCCCACCAGGAGAGCAAGCAGGTGGCACAAGAGTGGTAACCAAAACCATTGAAGAGAATATATTTATAATTCTTGAATGAAAAAGTGCATGTTATAGTAATAATTTGACTAGAGAGAGAGATGAAAAAAAAAACAGAATGTGTCAACAAAAATGAGAAGAAAAAGGAGGGAAGGAGTGGCAAGGGGAGATAAAAGGGTGTTGATTTCTTAGTTTTTTTGTGAACAGAGAGATAAAAAAATACTTTCATTTCTGGAGTTGATAATACACTCAAACCTATACTTCTCCATTTAAAGACATAAAAATAACCACTAGAACCATCTCCCCCGCCTCCTCCCCGGCCCCACCAAAAGGAAGGGGAAAAAGAAAAAGAAAAAGAAAAAGAACTATATAGCGAAACATTTTCTTTAAAAAGATGATGTAGTATTAAGGATCTGCTAAAAGGATAAAACTCAAATTGGGTTTTAAAAAAAGAAAATCCAAGAAATCTAACAAGATATTAAGAGGCACACCTGAAACAGACTCGAAGAACAAAATGAAAGTCTGGGCAAAAAAATACCAAGCAAATGCAAGTTTTAAAAACTGAAGGTTTAGATGTTAAACTCGACTCTTGTGTTCCTTGTGTTAAAGACAAGGCTATCACACAGAGTGTCACTGTACACATTAGGAAATAAACTGGGGAGAAAAATCTGTAACAGCTGGAACGCAAAGTGATAATTTCCCTAATACATGATTATTTTACATGGTCAAGAAAAAGGGGCATAACTCAACATAAAAAAGGTAGGCAGAAGACATCAACTAAGCACACAGCACACAGATACCAATAAACCCTTGCACAGGTGTTTGCCATTAATAATAGACAAATTCCTTCCTCACCTGTCCATATTGGCTAATTGCACTCACAAAAGCACAGAGAAGCAAGCACACCTACAACAGCAGTGGAAAGCATAAACTCAGGCAGGCTTTTTTGGTAAGTCACTGTTTAAAATTTTAAGTGTTATATCTTTTAATCCAGATCTTTCACTTCCAGAAATTTTTTCTTAGCCAAAAAACACTCAAATGCTTGAAGATAGGTAAAAGGAAGTTTGTTAAAGCACAGAGAACATTTAAAATGTCAGTAAATAAGGGATGAACAAAAATCATAGCACAATAGAATGAGCAACTTTTATAGAAAGCTCTCCTGATGCAACCAGTAAGCAGACACAATTAAGGAGCAAACCAGTATACACTGCAGAGTCCATTCCTGCCCAAGGAACCACCAACTTCTCAAACCGGAAAAAAGCCCAAATACACTGATTTAGTTAGAGTACAAGGCAAAAATCTAGAAGACAATACTTGAACAGTATTTTCTCCTAAGTGGGAAAGAAATAGAAGAGCGGGGAATGGTGGAGGCTTTCCCTCACACCAGTACAACTCTGTGTGGTTTCAAAAATAGATTACTTCAGTAATCGAAATATTAAAATATCTTTTAAAAATGTTTTAATGTTCACTGCTATATCAAAACAATACAAAAACTACCTCCTGTCCTAATTTGTGTTTAAGAATAAAATCTGGTAAAATTATTGAAAGATGATAACCTAAAATTTAATAGCAAGAATTTAGACACATACTTCATCAGCCTATTTTTGGAAGACAAAAAGGACTTAAATTGTTTGTAAGCCAAAATTTCTTAGGTCATCAGCTTTTACTCTCTGGTATTAAAACATGGAGCAAAAGCCATGGCTGTGGGAATTTGAATGACAGGATGTAGAGGTGTGAAGACAGGAAAAAGATGTTTCCGTGATGGGCACATGAACGACACAGGATTCATCTTTTAGGGAGGGATACCTCAGGTGTAACCGAAGTTTCAGCTGTGTGTCCAGAGGTCCCACGTGCAGAAAGGTTATGTTCACTTCCATCCACTGTACAACCACAGCTGTAGCCAGAAAGAGGACAACAGCCGTGTTGTTGCTCATACCAGATGCCAAAGGGGTAACCCTGGCAGGGCTGGAACTCCTGCTTCACTCTAACAGCCAGGGGAGACAATAGGAATGACATCACCAACTGAGGCAGAATCATTCAAAACCCTAGGACTCTTTCTTCTTTCCCGGAAGTTACAAGTAAGGATCATTTCTGCTTTAACTGTTTAAGAATTTCTATTTTCAAAGCAATAGTCTGCAAATTGCCAAAAATTATGTGATAGAACAGTGCCTTCATTTTAATTCAGAGTAGGAAAAACAGCTCACCTTTGCCAGTACCAGTAATAATTATTTTGTTGAGATGTGTCAAAACCTGCAAAACTCTCTTGTCCAGCCATTTATCCAGAAACTTGATAAAATGAGACAAGGAATCAAGAGTTATTATTCTGGCATCAAAAATCCCAGCTCCCAGCCTAAAACCTTTCAACCTGACAAATAACTCACAACTGCCTCAGAGAGAAACTACATTTAGTGGCAATTCCTGCTAGGCAATTAACTTCTCCACTTTCTGACAATGGAGTTAAAGGGTGGGTGGAGGCAGGAGTGCATTGAGGTCACCTGGGTTCAGAAATTCTGCAAATTCTATTGCTGGCTTTGAGTTGCCAGCCCCCTCCCAGTGGTCAGGCCTGATGAAACTTTCCAGTACCCAGTGGGGATGGAGAGGGAGTGTGTGTTGGGCAGCTGAGAAGGACAAAGAAGTATCCACCCTAACCTCCAATAATAATATTAAGAGAGTCACTTCAAATACCACAATTTGATGTTTCCACCCTCAGTTTAGCTATCTATAAATAGTAATGATTAGAACCAGCCTCTTAGTGGATTTTTAAAAAACCTATCTCCTACAGGTTGAAATCATCCCAACCAGCTAGCTGGTAGGAAGAAGTGGTACATCTCTCGCTCGCTTGCTCGCTTTCTCACTCTCTTAATGGGAGAACAGAAAAAAAAAAAAAATTTCAGTGGTTCAGTATTTTTTTTTTAAAGCACAATAAAGGTTCCCGAACTTTAACGCACATTCACATTACCTGGGCATGTTAAAATATAGGTTCAATAGATTTGGAGTAGGTCCTTGGATAATGCCTTTCTAGCCAGCTCTCGTGCACTTTAAGTAGCAAGGCTACATAAAGTATCAAAATTTAAGAGAATTTAGGGTGTGGCTATTTTCCTGAAGCTTGTTCATAAGTAACTATTTCACTATTCAAGTGCTTGATGTATTTTATATGTACCTGTAATGTGAAAAATAATAGTCACAAGAAATTTAAATCATTCACCCATTATTAGTGAGCTCCTATTATATACAAGTGAGGGTGAGTAATACTGGTGATATAATGAAGTTTATACTCTAATGGATTTCCCTGTCTTCAAGGGAGATGTCATTGATTAGCAGCTCTAGCAAACATTGCTAGGGGCCACCCAGTATTCAGCTTCCTTTTCTTCCTTAATAACAGAAACTTGATTTTATTTGGGGGCAGCAATAGGCCTTGCTAAAAGACATCACTTCCTAGCTTCCCCCCTTACAGGGAGATGTGGCCAGGTAGCTAATGTATGGCTAATAAGATGTAAGCAGAACTATTACAAGGAGATTGAGGAAGGCTGTGCAAAGGGTGTTTGCTTAGCTGGAAGGCCTTTTTGTCCTCCATCTTTTCCCTAAGCCTAGTGCTAAGATTACAGATATGATGGCTGGAGCCACAATAACTGCACCTATCTTAGCCTGTGGGGTGACATCAAGGAGTAAGTCATGTACTACAAATACAAGAACTGAAATACAGAATGCATCTGGGTCCCTGGTGGCTGAATTCCCTGTATCAGCACTTGACTGGTCTACTTTTGGATTTCTTATAAGAAATGTCTTGTTTAAGCCACTGTCATTTTAAGTTCTATGATGTTAAACATAATTCTTAACTACTATAGCAGTTTAGACATCAAATAAAACATCAGTTAAGGATTCTCTTTTTGTAAAACTTTAATATCGGGGTTTTTCCCCTTATTTGAGAACTTTTTTTTTTGTAAAAAGAAAATCAGAATTTTGACTATGAATGGGTGAGAGATGAAGCTGTAGTTGGAAAGGAGTGCAGGAGCTGAACATTGAAAATAAGGTGGTAAGGAGGCTGAGGAAGGGAGAAGCCAGTGGAATAGGAAGATAGCAGAAGCTGGGGCACAGAGGACTGTTAGCAAGGCTCCAGAGATGAGGATGGACATTCAGGGCTTTGTAGGTGACAGCAACAAGGAAGGGTTCTTAAATATTATTTTGCTCTCTAAAAGCTTCAAATGAAAACTTCTCATATTTCATGTAAACTATTCCCGTGAAGCAGATTAAACAAATTTATATCCGGACAGGCCAGTGGCCAGTGTCCAGGGGAAGTAGCCCACTCTCTGCTTCCCTTAGCTCTATGTGCAAAGGAGATCCAAATCCTCTGGGAATACAAGCATATGCAACCTCTGTAGTCTTAAAGTTTGACTTTCTACCTGTTACATTAAGAAAGGAGGGTAATTGGGCAGGAATATTAGACTCACATGGTATTTCGAACAGGACTGACTTTTCTCCACTGTATCTTGCTTTTACCCCTGTATATCCACTTCACCACCACCCCATTCCCTAAAAAAAGAAAAATTGGGTGTTTGTTCTTTAGCAAATCAAACAAAGCCACACACTCCAATATTTGTTGAAAGGATAAATAAATCAACACATGGCTCAACCATAAAAAGCTTTCAATTAGTAATTTAGGAGCAAAACTAAAAATACTGTTTAGTGTTAAGAAACTGAATAGCCGGTTGTTTCTTGGCAACTGAAGTTTTCACATGAGATTAAATAGCTTTTTACATCCTGTGTTTGGAAACAGAACAGGAGGTTTTTCAGGAAGTATGCTCAGTTTGAATCCAGTTGAACAGGTATAATTTTGTATTGTTTTTCTTTAGACAATGAAAGCCATTGTTCTTCTGTTGAAAAGAATGTTCAAGCCCAAGGAAATAAAAAAAGCAGCAGCAGCACTGGATCTACCATTGCTTAGTTATGTGGTTTTGAGAGTTCTTCCTCTGGACCTGTTTCAATATTTGTAACTTTAGACTCCATTAGTGTATTTTAACCTTAATGTAGCCCTAATCTTTTTGAAATGTAATGAAATTTTCTCAATGCTCTCCTCTAAAACTGTACATATACAGTTTTGCACAAAATTTCAAGGGGTTCAAAGTCCCCAGAACTTATCCATGAACTCCCACAGATTAGGAACACCTGAACTAGATGCTCTCTAAGGTCATCTGAGCTCTATAATTGGTTCCACTAATTCTCAACAGTAAAAAAAAAAAAAAGACTAAACCACTTTGAATTATGTTTATGGTGCTTACACTATGATTCTCATTCTAGAACCAACTGTATCCTAAAAGATTCCTGATTGCAGCAAAATATTTTTCAAAATATTTTTTTCTAAAATGTGACAAATATTTAGCAGGTAAAAGTGTGACAATATGGTAATAGAAGTTGAATATAGCAATTATTGTTATAGTTATATTTTAAAATTAATTTTAAAAAATATGAGTACAATTCTTGACAAATAGCAGTTGAGATTCCTCTACGGTGACAGGCAGGGCACCAGGGGCATTCCAAAAGCAACAGAATATATAAATCACATGATTTTGAAACACGGTTTTATTCAATTTTTTTTTCTTTTTGGATGAGAAAATATTTCGCATTAAAATAAAAAGAAATGTCATGGAGTAAAATACAAATAGTCATATTTTTTTAAAGATAAAATATGAGATGCCAAAGAAATGTCCTGCTTACTCATTCTTTGTTCCATTCCCAGGGGACACCCACTTGAGCAATTTACACTCTTTTGACCTTAGTGGTTTTCTGGTGGTAATAGTTAAGAAGCAGTAAATAGGAAATAATTTAAATAGTAAAATAACTTATGACTCTTTGTAACATAATGAAGATAACTAGCACAAAGCAAAGTAATTGCTATAAAACAGTGAATGACTATCCAAAGTGAAATCATTTCTACAAGACCTATCATCAATTAAAACAAACCTTAAAGACATACTGACAATTCAGAGCATCAGAGAACAAATGTTCTTGGAAACAAAAGGATCTAAGTGCTACAGAATTGACACTAAATGGAGTTTGAAGAATCGACATTGATATATGCATCTAATTCCTGCTTGTCAAATCGACCTGCTGTGGCATTTGCTGTGGCAAATTATACATTCCAAGATTTGTTCTACTTTTAAGTTTGTACGAAGATGTCATTTCTAACACATTCCTGAATCTCCAAACTTAATGAAAATCTCAAATGTAAATTCAGGCCATCTAGCTTTTATTAACGTTTGACTTTGCACTTAAACTGGGAAGGTGGTAAACTTAAATACACCAGTCCCTCAATTTACGCGGTATTTTTTTACATGAGTTTTTTTATATGCAGTAAATATTCCGTTTATGTGGACTTTTTATATACGGATTCCATTTACACAACCTCCTTTCACACGGTTCTTTCTTCATTTCCATTATTGGCGATTACACTTTCTAAAAAACAATAGCTTACTCAGCAACGTACAAAGAACTAATACTTACCAACACACAATTATTAATGCATTAACTTCCCATTCATTAGATGGCAAATAAAGCAAGGGTGACTACTGATGTTTTTTGGTATTGGTTTTACAAATGTTTTGCTGTAGAAGCTGATAATTATAGGAAGGAAAAATGTCTCCTTTTAAAATATTTTTACTTTTAGATAATGCACCTGGTCATCTACACAATTTAGAACATCCAAATATAAAAGTTGTATACAGTATTTGCCACCAAATACAACTTCCTTGATCCAACCTTTAGATCAAGGCATTATTTCCTCCTATAAGATTAATTATGTTAAACGGAGTTTTAATATTTTTAATAAACTTGAAGATAATGACTAACAGTTACAGAAGCCTGGAATACACAATTTTAAGTTGTATCAAGAATATTAGCTTTGAGTGATATAAAGCCATAAACTTTAAATGCTTGCTAGAAAGCAATACGGCCAGAAGTGGTTGTACCAAGGGATATGGTTCCAACCACTGAAAATTAACTGGCATTATTAATTTATTAAATAAATTTCTAGCATTATTAAATTAACTGGTATTATTAACTTATTAAATTTCAAGAAGGTTCTGATAATTTGAATGGAGATGATATTAACGAATTACTGGTTGATCACCAATTAACTCATTATGAATTAATTCATTTAATATCCGAAGCCCGTCCTGCCGATGAACACAGCAGTGACCTTGAACTAGTTTTTCACTGCAGAAAATATTTACAAAGCTCTGCAATTGGCCACAAAACTGGAAACTGCAATTCCGTATTGATCCAAACATCTAATGAGCCTTAAAATTCTGAAAAGACTTTTTAAAATGTTGTAGTGAATACTCAAGAATTTATGAAAACTTAGAAAAAAATGGGGATGGAAATGATCATCCAAAAACATAATGAAACCGAAGTAGTACTTTCAAATATTTTGAGCAATAACAATAACGACTTTGTGCCAATTAAAGAGGTTGATTGTTTTAGATTACAGTAGAGACACCGACAGCGAATAAAATTTATTTTCGTTTTTCTGAATTTTCATTAGCATTTTTGTGATGTTAAATACTTTTATTACTTATATCGGCCTATTTAGTACTTTTTTTCGTACTCATGGACTGTTTTTATGCAGTTTTCTTCCACGTTAAGAAAAGAAAAAAGACGTGTGGAATGGACAATCCGCGTAAATCGAGGGACAGGTGTAAATGAGATTTTCCTCTGAAATGCTCACCAAGAATGACTACGCCTTCCTTTCTTCAAGTAGTCTGTCTTTATTCCCTTCAAGCAAAGGGTCCTCCTCCCTCCACAAGATGTGTCACAACGCTGCTAACTGGACCCCAGAGTTAGACAAGTGAACCAAACACGAAGTAAAGGTGTGCAGGGCCGGATTACCTGGCCTGGGCTCGCGGGAACGCGGAAGTGAACTTTCAGGGCCTGGACTTCGCCGCCTGCTCTGGTAACTGCAAACCCTAAATCCCACTCCCTGTTTGCCCTGCTACCAGACAATGAGAGAGAAAGGATCACGCCACTGCTTCCAGCCCCTGAACGAAACCTAACTCCTACAACGCGTATCACAGCCCACAACAAACACTAGCCTACACTAACAGAACCACACCGCCAAGAGCCTAAACCCAGACCAAAACTGCCTCGCCCCTTCCTTAGACGTCACGGAAATGAGGGGCTGCCGCCAAGAATGTCCCGCCCACTCCCCTCAGACGCGCGCAGCTCACAGCTTCCTAGAATATGCCTGCTTTGCTCCATTTTTTTTCTCATAACAATGAAAACCTCCTCATGTGGCATCCTTTTTTATTCTCTGCTTAGAAATGTCGCGCGATCTTCGAGCGCCGAATCTGTTTCCACTGATGCAGGCGCCTCAAAGGCAGCTTCCCATCGTGACGTCATTTGTGCGCCGACAGCGGAAGGGCCCTCTCCGTCTTACATCCGCTTTCGTCTCCGCGCCCCCTATGCCGGATGCCGCACGCTAAACAGCACGTGCGCTGCTGAATGGAGCTGGTTGCTGGTTGCTACGAGCAGGTCCTTTTTGGGTTCAGTGTACACCCGGAGCCCAAGGCAGACGGCGACCACGAGGTAAGAGCCGACCTGCCAAGGGACCACCGGAGCTGTGGTCGGGGGAAGGGCAGGTCAACTCACATGACCCAGGTAAACACATCACCGGTGGTCAACACATCGCCTTATCCTTTAGAGATTAATTGACGAGTCAAACTCAGGAAACCTAAGGTAGCTTTTTAAATCATGGAGTAGGCATTTCACAAAACGAGGTAATGTCTGTTATAGCAGACATTTTTGACTACAGTGCACGAAGGAAGCTGGTATTTCTGCAAATTCGTAGCGTATGGATTTAAGGGTCGCGCCCATAAGTTGACAGCCAGTTTAGGTGTTCCGGATTTAAGAAAAGAACAGTTCGTTCTTTCACTGAGTTTCTGTCCTAGAGTTCTACAAAATGTTAGAGTTAGGTCAGGATAAATCCTTCATTGATAAAGTGACCCCAATTTATTATTATTATTATTTGCATGCAGCGAAGGTGCAAAGAAGCTAAAGGTATGATTTCTGCACTGGACATCTTCTCAACATAAGGGGGAGAGGATTGGGAGACAGATGCATGGAGAGAAATTACAACAAAATATAAGTATATTACTAGACGTGTGAATAAAAAGTAAATTAGTCAAACAGGTAGTTAGGCTATAACCAGGACTAGAAAAGAATAAGATCTTTTAGTCCAGGATTATTCTTCCCCCTAAGCAATCCTAGATATCTTAAAAACCTATTTCATTGAGCGCTTCTGTATGGAGAAGTCAAGGTGTCGGTCTTGAATTAACTAGAAAATTGGAAGCATATGACTTGACTAATTGTTTTTGTTTATTTTGCTTTTCTATTCTAATAATCTGTCTTTGGCTGAAAGATGATGTTTAGAATATTTAAGAATGGTGCTACTGATTGTGTTCTCTTTGTAATAAGGTTGCTTACCATGTTTCAAATACATGTAGTCCTCAACAATCTTGTGAGGCAGATACAGTTATCCCCATTTCATAGATGAGGAACCTAAAGTTGAGGTAGGTTAAGTGACATGCTTAAGGCCACTCACAGTTAATATTTGGCAGACTTGGGATTCAAATCCCCAGGTGTCTCTTGACACTTGAAATTCTTAACCATTACCCAATACTGCTTCTGATCCTAGACAGACAATAGCCCAGATAACCAACATTCCTTCTGTAATATGAACAAGCGAAGGTTATTTGATTTATGGCCATAGCAGCCCTTCAAGTATATTGTGCCTTTACTTGAAAGAGGCTCCCTCGGTTTTTATTGATGGAGGAACTGTCTGTTGCTGTAGTTATTTAGGAATTAGTTTGCAGTAACACATCTTAAGTGTGTTTAGACACTTAAGTTTTGGTGTTTTTTTTTCTTCCTTGGTTCATTTTACTAACACTTCTTGATGCAGCTCCTTCAATTTGAGATATACATGCGCATGTATTCTTGGCACTTAGCCAATCATACTTATCCAATCCAAAAGCTACATATCAGTTAAGTGTAGAGTTCTTGAGATCTTATCATTGGTCATTCTTTAGGGCTTATATTGGTACTACTGGGAACCCTCTTAATCCTATTTATTTTTGCTTATGGGACTTGTCATTATACTTATCTCTGTGTGACATATTCATTTATTGTCTTTTTTTTTTTCTGCAGCAATGGCAGCTGCATTAGAATAAGGACTTTTGTTTCTTGTATTCACTGCTGTATATCAACTGCTTAAAATGATGCCAGGCACATAGTAGTCATTCAGTATTTCAGTAAATAAATTCAAATTCAGTTTGAACATTTGAATGAACAGTATGCAAGTCTGACATATAAGTAAATATAATTAAGAGTTAAGAATTTGGGTGGGACCTTAAAGTTCCTGTTGTCCAGTATCCATAATTGTTTTGAAGTCATGATACAAAGCATTGCAGTCCCATCTCTTTGCTTTACCTTCCTTATTCAATTCTCAGTTCTTTGTTTTACTTTACATATTGTGTAGTTTTTTTCTCCATTTGTAGGTTCCATTGGTAGTTTTCAAGGATTGTGGAACCACTTATCTGTTTCTAGAGAACTATATGATATGATTGTGATATTGATTGTATATTTTACTCCTCAGCAGAAATGGACTCCTGTGGCTGACTTCACTCACCATGCCCACACTGCCTCCTTGTCAGCATTGGCTGTAAATAGTCGTTTTGTAGTCACTGGGAGCAAAGATGAAACAATTCACATTTATGACATGAAAAAAAAGATAGACCATGGGGCTCTAGTGCATCACAATGGTAAGAAAATGATATCTTTTAACATAAAACTGTTGAGGCGTTATTATTTTACAATTTGTGAACTTCAGTTACCCAATTCATTAAGTAGATTCTGTGCTAGGAAATACAGAAACGAAAAGAAAAAAAATGTGGTTCTTTGTCCTTAAGTTGTTCACAGTCTGTGTTGGGAGACAGAAGGCAAGCACTTAAGTCACTCTGTGGAAGTGGGGGAGGAAATGAATTTTCACTGAAAACGTCCTTAAAATGACATCTGAATTACCTTAAAAGAGAAGTATGAGTAGTTATCCAGGTGAAGTTTGCAAAGAGGGAGAAGGGATATTCCAGGCAGAGCAAGCAGCATGAGGAGCACAAGTAGCATCATCATATATTAATAGCTAACTTTACTAAGGGAGTATCATGTACCCAGTAGTGTGCCAAAAATTATATCTTCAGTTCATAGAAGAGAAAAACCTTGCTTCAAAGATCTTATATGACTTACCCAGAGTCACAAAACAGTGTATCTAGAACTTGAACCTCGGTCTATAGCCCATATTTTTAACCACTGGTATGCACGGGGAACTGTAAGTAGGTCAGTATTATGAGAAGGTTAGAATGAAGGTTGGGGTGGCTGGAGAAGTAGATGGGGCCAGATCCTGGTGATCCTTGAGTGGAGGATGTTAGTGATTCAATGGGAGGGAGAGATGCAGGCTGAGAAAAGTGCTGGCAGTTCGGGTATGAGAATGACGCTGACTAAGAACAAGCAAAATGACTGATGAGAGCCTGCCCAATTGAAGTTGGAGGCTATGGATTGAGTAACATCAGTTTGTAATAAGCTACAGACGTTTCTGTAGAGAGGAAAGTTATTTGGCGTGTACAATAGAAGGATTGATTTGAGGGGAAATTGAGGGTTTCGGTAAAAGAATAGTTTAGGTTTTTAGCCTAGAGAAAATGAGGTTTAAGGGTCTGCAGATCTCTGAAATAAGAAAGCAGTTGGAATGTGAGTGAAGGAAGGCATGAAAGCTGGAAAGGTGTGAGGTTGCAGTTAGATAATAGATTCTTCGAATTCAAGAGTGCTGATGTGGAGCAGCTCTAGGTGATAAAGTGTCCTGGTTGTGAGTGTGACACTCTAAGGTACTGAGGAGGCAAATTATTTATTAAAGATCTTTGGCTTTTTCAGTACAAAGGGCAATGTAAAGGATTGACCAGGAGGTGTGCAGATAAACAATAATGACCCAGGGGTTTACTTTCTTATTCTGTAAATGACCCAATAACAAATATTTAGGCTTTGTGGACATGTGTCCCTGTTACAATCCCTCACCTCTGTGCTCCAGTGAAACAATATAGAAGCAGGCCACTGGTCAGATTTGGCCTGCAGTGTTTGGCTGACCCCTGAGCTATAGGGCAGTTAAGCTGTTGACACAAGCTTTAAAAAATAAGAATTTTGAGAGTAAATGTATAATGGCATAGGCTGCTTTGGGGAGCTAGAAGAATGCTGGGTTCTTCCATCACCTCACTTCTTTTCAGCCATTTAGTATTTGAAGACAATGAACATATCTCCCTGTCTCAAGCTTTAGGGGAATTTCATGGGAGATCCAGGCTTCATTTTGGGCATATAGGAGTGGAGTATTTTGTGAAGAAATTGAAAAGATGTAGGAAATGTTGTTAATTATGGGAAGGAGATTACGGAAGGCTTAGTGGAAGAGTGTAACCATTTAAATTCTTACGACAGTAAATGAGAACTGTGTAAAAGTCTATTCAAAAACAGCTCTGTAATGATAATTATATTGTGGGTGATTGTGTAGCTAACTGACTTCTTACAATGGACTTTAAGGTTTATTTCAGAACACTTACATTGGATGTTTACTTACTGCAACATAGCCTTCAAACCAGAAAGAGAATTTGCATTCAAGATGAATGTTAATTTTGCCTATTTTGTTTTTCCACAGGCACAATAACTTGCCTGGAATTCCATGGCAACAGGCATTTAATCAGTGGGGCAGAAGACGGACTCATTTGTGTCTGGGATGCAAAGAAATGGGAATGCCTGAAGTCGATTAAAGCTCACAAGTAAGTCCTGCCCTTTCCCGTGGGCAGTCTCTAAGTGCCAGTCAAGTTGGGTGCTAACTGTTGGTTTCCTTTTAGAGGACATGTGACCTTCCTTTCTATTCACCCATCTGGCAAGTTGGCTCTGTCTGTGGGTACAGATAAGACATTAAGGTAAGTTATTAATGCCCAAGAGCATCTTTACTGAGTCATGGTCTTTGTTCTCCAAGTACAACAGGAGTCCCTTGCCAGGGTATATTGTTTGCTACAATAATCAGATACTGTTTCTATATTGTCTCAGAGCTGTCAGCCATTTAAATAAATAAATATGTCACAAATTAAAAATATCATGATGTAAACAAATGTTGAAAGCTAGTGAACCTTTTCATAATAGTAGGAAAAAAATGACAAGCTCAGTGTTCAAACATGCACATTACATTTCAGTCACTGTAAGTTGTAAAGAGGAGTGTAGTCATAAAAAATGTTTTACGGGGTAAAACTTTTTGAAATTGTATTAAATATGTTGAAGGGGTTGTGGGAGTACCTCTTTAACAAGTTAATCTTGCTTAATAATAAATATTTCAGATGTCATTTAAGAAAGATGGCAGTTCTAAATAGCCAGATATTTAGTAAATTGTCATTGAGTAAACCTTCATTATGCTTACCTTTACACCTAGTAAAAGTTAATGATCATGCCACAAGTGAGCTTCTTATTTTGCAGAACATGGAATCTTGTGGAAGGAAGATCGGCATTCATTAAAAATATAAAACAAAGTGAGTTATTTTTATTTGGAATGCATTTTATAACATCTTGATGGAATGTGAACACACACACACACATGTACATGCATGTACACATTTGTTTACCTGCATGATGGTAGTTAACTCTGAGAGCTTTAGGTTACATTTTCTCTTTTAGATTGGGATTCTTGTGGCTCTGCTACCTACCAGCTCTGTGACCTTTAAGGATTCTTAGAACCCAGTTTATTGTCTAAAATTTAACTCAAAAAATATGTATCATAAGTTTGTTGTGAGTATTCAGTAGGATAATGAATGTGAAAATATGCCGTTTTTTAAAATAAATGTTTGCTATTTTCATTATTATTCTGATCATTTAATTTTTTATTTATGAAATTAAAAGGCTTTGTTCTTTTAATTTACAGATGCTCACATCGTACAGTGGTCCCCAAGAGGAGAGAAATACATAGTTGTCATACTGAATAAAATAGACGTCTATCAGCTTGATACAGCATCAGTTAGTGGCACCATCACAAATGAAAGCAGAATATCTTCTGTTACATTTCTTTCAGTAAGTGATCAGAAATCAGTGATAGAAGTTTAGTGTCTGCATGCTGGTTGGAACTGTTGATGACATTCTGATGTTATTCTTTTTCTCCTAGGAGTCTGTCCTTGCAGTGGCTGGAGATGAAGAAGTCGTAAGGTTTTTTGACACTGATTCACTAACGTGCCTCTGTGAATTTAAAGCTCATGAAAACAGGTCTTTTTTTTTTTTTTTTTTAACCAATCTCTGTGTATTTGTAGGGTCTCAAAAACATTTTATATACAATAGTTTCATAAAGCAGGGTATATATCTTTTATGAACAACTGCAGAGGTAGACATAGCTGCACATATATGATATCTGGAGTTGGGAGGATGGTAGAAATGTCTTCTTGGCCTTAGTAATGTAAAAATGAAGTTGTCATCAGGATTAATCATTTGCACAAGATAATTTCCCAATAATTTTGTTAGACGGGGCCTGAAATCAACCATATTTGAACAGGAAAAAAAAAATTAAAACAATCTTGAGTTTTGCCCCAACCACTCTTAACTTTTTACTTTATTCCCCTTGTCTACTTCTTCCCCCTTTATACCCCATTTATTTTTCTTGCAGGAGAAATAAATGACATCGTTGACTTCCGTTTTATGCCAGTCTCTGTTTCCTCTTACTGCTTACTGTATTTCTAGGAGTAGACACTGAGTCTCTCAGTAAATGGATAAGTGACTTGGCCAAGATTACCCCACTGTTCAGTGATGGAACTGGGATCCAAACCCAGTTCTACCTGACTTTGCTCCTGCTTTTTCTACTATAATTTTGAAAAAGAAGATAATGTACAGAGTGATATACTTTAATGTTTTTCATTTATATATTCTACATCTTAAGTCTTAGTTTTCATTTTCTAAATAATGAGTTTTAAGAAATCTCTCTTTGTAAATAGTACTGCAATCAATATACAGGTCCTAGTTAAGATGATTAGAGAAGGGGGAGTGGGACCTTAGGGATAAAAAAGGCACTATTTCTAAAAAGAGAAGAGAACTGCAAGCACACTGGCCCTAAGGGAGGAAAGAGCTGAGTGTATTTAGGAACAGATTAAAGACTGTATTACTAGATCAAAGTGAGCCAAATGGTGCACAGCCCTGTAGGTGGTTGTTGTAGAGTTTAGATTTTATATTAAATGCCTTTGTAGATTTTATTGTGTTTCTTATTATGGGAAAAATATAAAGACAGATAGACCAGTGTAAGGAAGCAACTACTATAGACCTACCACCCAGCTTCAGCAGTTATCAATTTATGCTCAGTCTTGCTTCATAAATATTCCTAGCCATTTCCTTTCCCATGTTATTTTAATGCAGATCCTAGCTTTGTAGGTTTCTAAGGCTGGGAGTAACATAATTTAATTTACATTTTAAAAACTTGTTAAGGGGCAAAAATGGAAGCAGAGAGGCCAATTAGGCCACTTCATAATTCAGAAGAAAAATGGTAGTAGTTTAGACTAGGATTGGTGGCACTGAAGATGAGAGGCATGGGTACATAGGAGTAAGCCTTGATTCATCTCTTGTTTTCTATCTACTGAACTTGTAGTTTCTTAAGGTGAGGGGCTTTGTTTTAAATATCTTTCTTTCCTTTGTGATAATCTCATTATTTATAGTTATAATCACCTTTTAAATTTTTTTTTAATGTATAGTTAACAGTCAATTTTGTCTTAGAATTTCAGCCCTGAAAAATGACTCACAGGATGCGTAGCACATTTATATTTTAGTACCATTCATTGAACAGTTTGGAAGCACTTGAAACATTGAAAAATCAAAAGACTGTACATAGAACCTTTATAACAGTATCATACTATTTGAAGAAAGGACCTTTTATGATGTTAATATTTTTATTCTAGGGTAAAAGACATATTCAGTTTTGAAATTCCAGAAAATCATGTTATCGTTACAGCATCGAGTGACGGTTTCATCAAAATGTGGAAGCTTAAACAAGATAAGGTCAGTGTCTTAGTATAATACAGGTATACTTTAATGTAAGTCTTACTATCAGTATTGCTTTGAGTTAAATGAAGTGGAATTTTAAAAATCAGACAACTTTTGAATAAGCTTTTTTAAAAATTTTAATTAGTTTCAAGTATACAGTACATTGGTTAGACATCTATATAGTTCATAAAACGATCCCAATTGCTCCCTCTCTCCCCTGACCCTCTACCTAGCCAACATATTAATGCTAACTGCATACCCTATGCTGTGCTCCCCATCCCCATGACCATCCATCAACTACTAATTTGTACTTCTTTAACCCTTCACCCATTCTCCCAGCCTCCCCTCTCCTGTGTCTGTCACCAATTTGTCCCCTATATTTGTGAATCTGTTTTAGATTAGTTTGTTCTTTAGGTTCTTCATAAGTAAATCATATGTTATTTATCTTTCTCTGTCTGACTTAAATACCTTCTACGTCCATCACGGCAATATCTTTTTCCATCCCCTTCCTTTTAGTCTGTGTGTTTTTTTAAATCCGAAGTGAGTGTCTTGTAGGCACCATGTCGGGGTCTCGTTTTCTTATCCATTCATCAACTCTCTTTTAGTTGGAGCACTTAATTTTTTCCATTTGAGGTACTTATTGATAGGAATGTTACCATTTTTTATTCCTGTTTTTATACATGTTTTTTCTTCTTGAAGAAATCCTTCTAACATTTCCTGTAATTCTGGCTTGGTGGTGACAAATTCCTTTAGCTTATTTTTGTCTGGGAAGCTCTTGATCTGTCCTTCAACTCTAAATGATAGCTTTTCTGGATAAATTATTCTTGGTTGTAGATCCTGGGTCTTCATTCTGTGGAGTATTTTGTGCCAAGCCCTTCTGTCCTGCATAGTTTCTTTTGAGAAATCAGCTGCCAGTCTTATGGGTGCTCCCTTGTAGGTAACTGCTTTTCTCTTGCTGCTTTTAAGATTCTCTCTTTGTATTTAACCTTTGGCATTTGAATTATGATGTATCTTGGTGTGAGTCTCTTTGGATCCCTGGTTTTGGGGATTCTCTGAGCTTCCTGGGGTTCTATGTCTATTTCCTTCACCAGGTTAGGGAAGTTTTCCATTATTATTTCTTCAAATAGCTCTTCAACATCTTGTTTTCCTTCCGGTGTGCTGATAAGACAGATATTTTGACCTTTAATAGTGTCCCATGTGCTCCTCAAATTATTTTTACAGTCTTTGCTTCTTTTTTCTTGCCATTCTGATTCAGTGTCCTTGGCTTTCCTGTCCTCTATATAGGTCATTTGATCCTTTTCTTTATTCACTTTGTTTATTCCATTTAATATAGTTTTCATCTCAGATAATGTGTTCTTCATTTCTGACTGCTTCCCCTTTATAATTTTCATTTCCATTTTTATGTTTTTTATCTCTTTGCTCAATTTATCTACACTTCCCAAAAGTCCATTGAACATCTTTATAAGCAGTCTTTTGAACTCTGCATTTGTTAGATTGCTTGACTCCATTATTTTTGGATCTCTGTTCTGTTCTCTCATGTGGTTTCTGCTTCTTTGTCTTCCCATTTTGGCTGCCTTTCTGTATCTCTTTCTATGTATTAAGCAAAGCTTCAAAGTCTTCCAGTCTTATTAGTGTGGATTTGTGTAGTGGGTGTCCAGTGGTACAGTCCTGGGAGGGGTTCAGCTGCCGGCCAAATTTCCCTCAAGCCTGTGCCCCTCCGAACCACCTGTTAAGATTTAGCCAGCAGTCCACAGATGCTGTGCATCTAGTTGCCTCAAAGGACCACACCAGAAACCGAGGCCATTTTCCTCCAGTGTGAGTCTAGGTGCTGTTCAGCAAGGAACACCTGACTCTCTGAAGATACACCTGGATGTAGCTTGGGTGGGGCCCAAGTTGGGGGAGGAGGAGTTTCAGGGAATCCTCTGGACAGAGTGACCACTGTTATCCAGTTTGATGACATCACGGCTATGGCAGTGCTGTGTCTGTGCACTGGGAGTGGGGAGGGCTCAACAGAGGAACAATGGATACCTCTGGCACTTCTGTAACTACAGAGCGAGTCTCACCTTGGCCCTCACTCCGAGAATGTCTCTCTGTAAGTCCCTGGTACCCTTTGCACAGCCGAACCGCCACTGGTGCTCAGAGCGAGCAGGTCCGTCACTGCTAAAGTCTGATCCTGAACACGGCCCCTTTAAGAGGCATCTGCTGCTGCTGCTGCCATAGCCTCTGTTTCACTCAGTCGCTGGGGACCAGGCAGCCTCGTGTCCTCGCCCCATCCTATCTTCTGCCATTGCAGGGCACTTTCTTGGATTTCTCCCTAGTTGTATGGCTTGTTCATCTACATCCCAGGTGATTTTTTCTTGTTGTTTGCTTCTTGTTTCCATCACAACTTTGATTTGGTTGCCAGAGGGATAAACAGAGCCTCTGTCATCTATGCCATTTTATTTCCCTCCCCTTAAATAAACATTTTAAATATCTTCCAGTCCTGATTGATATTCCTGGTTTTAAAGTTAGAGTTCCACAGAGTTCCCTCAGGGTTTGCATTAGTAAGTCAGAGCTGGCAAGATCTCAGCACTACTGCTTTTTCAATCAAAGAATTGCTACTTCTTTTTCTTTTGTATATTGAGGTTCTATGTAAAATTTTTTGTTTTTATTTATGACTACAAGTGCCTGGTCTTCCTAGGTCGTCTCCCATCCAAGTACTAACCAGGCCCGACCCTGCTTAGCTTCCAAGATCAGACATGGGGCTTGTTCAGGGCGGCATGGCCATAGACATGGACTGTGGCTCCACTGGGCTGCAAACCCAGAACTTTCTGTGTGTAAAGCAGATGCGCTAACTGCTATACTATGGAACCACGTCCTGTAAAATTTTTTTAGATAAAAATACTGCCATTATTTAAAAAAAAAAAAAAGCAGAAACTCCTGATTGATTATAGAACTAACAATAGTTTAAAACTAGGTAATTGGAAAAATTAAGTTCTCTTCCATGTCTCCCTCTCATAGATTATCTTGGTTTATTATTCTTAGTTCTCTCATAAATACATTCTGTGAATATGATTTGTTAAGTGCCTACTTTGTGCAAAGCTCTTTGTTAAAACCTAGAAATGAACAAGACATGGTCCCTTTCCTTAGTGAATTTTAATTTGCTGAGTACTTAGGAATTAGCTCTGTTAAAGATGTAGTCAAACCAATCATAAATCAGTAATTTCTTCTAAAATTTTTATTTTGGAAGCATATTTTATTCTCAAGAAAATACAGTGTTTTAAATTAAGGACTTGGTTATGGAAAAAGAAAAGTAATTATTTAAAATTCCCCTAATGTTTTTATGAATTTTTCTTTCTTGTTTTAGAAAGTACCCCCATCTTTACTCTGTGAAGTAAACACTAATGCCAGGCTGACATGCCTTGGAGTGTGGCTGGACAAAGTGACAGACAGGAAAGAAAGCCTTCCTCCAGCTGCAGAGCTTTTTCCTGGTAAATGAAATCGATCATTTAAAAAAACTGATAATCATATTGCTTGAATTGTCGAAGTGAAGGAGATCCAGATAACTTTACTTTATTGTCAGCCTACGTTTATTTCAAAGAGAAAAAACACTCTTTAACTGCACTCTCTCTTGTGTTTCAGTAAGTAAAGAACAGTCCAAAAGCAACAAAAAGGATTCTGGCCATGTTGTGCAGGAAGAAGAAAAGCAGTCAAAACCTAACACAAAGAAGTGTGGTTTAACTGGTGTCAGTAACAAGCCAACCAAAGGAAGTAGCCAGGTGTTGACCAAGAAGAGGAAAACAGTAGAAATGTTGGGAAAAAAGAAAAGAAAAAAGAATAAAATATGAATAATATAGTGATTCCCAGATTTCTCCTAAGAAAAACTTTTTAGATGAAATCATTCTTTTCAAATGTACCTAATTTTTTTCCCCTGAGTAAAAGCTAGGAATTTCTTCTTTAAATGTACACCTTTTAAAAAAAATCACTAAATCACTTTCAGGTTTTTTTGTTGTTGTTTTATAAACAGTGGTAAAACTATTTTGGGTAGGCAACATTTCATTATGTATCATGGTGACATATGTTAATGTGTAATATGTAATTTTTACTGTTGTGTAAAGCAAAGATCTTTCTCAAAATAATGTAGTTTAAAATAATATAAAATCTTGAACACATTCTTTACCAGAAGTAGATGAGTTGTTTTCCAACTTTTTTCCCTAAATAGGGGAAGAATGAAAAAAAACTGCCTTACTTTAGCTTCTTCAAATGGTTCTAGTAATTTTAATGCAGATTTTGTTCACTTGGGTAACAAAAGGTAAAAAATTTTCATACCAGGGTGTCTGGACAAACTTAAAATTATAGACATATAAATAGAACTTTATACATAAGAAGATTATTAGAGAGATTGCCAAACTTTGTTCAATAATTTTGTTTCCAAGTTGTGGATGATATAACTTCAAGGCAGGAAATGACATTCTAATTTTTTTTTATCCATTTAGCTAATGTAACAAAAGTAGTCTTAAAAAGTTCTTTGCATATTTAGGATAATAAGCTTTTATTAAATGTACCTTGCAAATATTTTCTGTCTTTGGCTTGTCCTCTCATTCTCTTGATGTTATCTTGTAGAGCAGAAATTTTTAACTTTAATGGAGTCCAGCGTATCAATTATTTCTTTCATGGGTTATATCTTTGATGTATCTGAAAAAGACTTCATCATATGCAAGGCCATCTAGGTTTTCTCCTGTTACCTTCTACGAGTTTTATAGTTTTGCATTTTAAATTGAGATCCATAATCCATTTTTAGTTAATTTTTATGGAAGGTGTAAGGTCTGTGTATAAATACATTTCTCGTACCATTTATCAAAGACTATCTTTGCTACATTATGTTGGCTCTGCGCTTTTGTCAATGATCTGTTAACCATATGGTATTCTATTTATGTTCTCTATTGAAGTGTTTGTTCTTTGGCCAATACCACACTGTCTTGATTACTGTAGCTTTATAGTAAGTCTTAAAGTCAGGAAGCATCAGTTCTCCAACTTTGTTCAATGTTGTGTTGGCTCTTCTGGGTCTTTTGCCTCTGCATATAAACTTTGCAATCAGATTGTCAATATCCATAAAGTAACTTGATGGGATTTTGATTGGGATTGCATTGAATCTATAGATCAACTTAGGAAGAACTGATATCTTGACAATATTTGAGTCTTCCTATTCATGAATGTGGACTAGCTCTCCATTTATTTAGTTCTTTGCTTTCATTCATGAGTTTTGTGGTTTTCTTCATACAGGTCTTGACAAATTTTGTTAGATTTATACCTAATTATTTCATTTTCATGTGTGCTAATGTAATGATGTTGTGTTTAGAACTTTAAATTTCACTTGCTCATTGTCGATACATAGGAAAGCAGTTGACTTCTGCATATTAATCTTGTATCCTCCAGTCTTGCTGTAATCACTTAGTTCTAGGTTTTTTATTGATTCGTTCAGATTTTATGTATAGGTGGTCCTGTCATATGTGACCAAAGACAGTTTTATGTCTTCTTTCCCAGCTTGTATACCTTTTATTTACTTGCCTGTTCACGTTGGCAAGGACTTCTTGAAAATAAGTAGTAATTGGGTCTTTTTTTAATTCAACTTTCTGTTTTGAGATAATTGTAGATTCACATGCAGTTATAAGAAATAATACATGGAAATTTCATGTACCCTTTATCCAGTTTCCCTCAATGGTACCGTACCATCTTGGAAGCTATAGTAAATTATTATATCTGGGATAGAGAAAATGATACAATCAAGATACAGAACATTTCTATCACCACCAGGACCCCTCATGTTGGGAGACCTGTGTTTTACTCCTGACTCTATCACCAAACTACCTCCATAACTCTGAGGCCTTTATCCTTTCTGACCTCAGAACTTGACATGTATTCTGTGAAATTTTGTCTTGTTTGTTGCCAGCTGTCCCAGTATATTAGCCTGTTCCATTTGCACTTCCTACCACCATCTATAAATTTGAGTCATTCAGTTTGACAAGTTGTTAATGAAACTAGTAGATGGCAGTGTCAGTGTAGCATAATCTCTTTAGGTTGTTGATCCATGAACCCCTGTTATTAAATTTCTATTCTTACAGAGCATACATTCATATTCTAGTTAAATAGCCTGTGTTTACTTGCTTCTTAATTTATATTTATATAGTCATCTTAAGCTTTGAAATTTCACTTATGTTGCCAATGGCTGACCTTTAAAAAATTTGACAGTTTCAAATTTTTTTTTTTTGGAGGGGGTAATAATTTTAGGTTTACAGACAAGTTGCAAAGTTCACACAGTCTCTATAGACCCCCTCACCCAGCCCCGTCTAGTGTTAACATCTTCACCATGGTACATTTATAAAAACTAAGATATTAACATTGCTACAATACTGTAAACTACAGTGTATTCAGATTTCAACAGTTATTACATTAACATCCTTTTCCTGTTCCCGGATCCAATCCAGGACACTACATTGCATTTAGTTGTCATGTTTCTTTAGCCTCTTTCCTTCAATCTGACATTTTTTCAATCTTCCCTTGTTTTTCATGAACTTGACAATTTTTTATATTATGGTTAAGTAGATATACCATAAAATTTGTCATTTAAATCATTTTTAATTGTACAATTTAGTGGCATTATCAGTGTTGTATAAGCGTCATCGATATGTACAAAACGCACCACCCAAACAGAAACTCTGTACCTATTAAGCAATAATTCCCTGTTCCCCTCTCTCCCCAACCCTTGGTAACTTCTGCTTTCTGTTTCTATGGATTTGCCTATTCCAAACATTTCATATAAATGGAACTATAATCATGTCCTTTTATATTTGGCTCATTTCACTTAGTTTAATGTCTTCAAGATTCATCCATGTGGTAGCATGTGTCAGAATTTCATCCCTTTTTATGGCTAAATAGAATTGTGTACATATTGTACATGTTGTTTATCCATCTGTTGATGGACACATGGATTGTTTTCACCTTTTGTCTACTGTGAATAATGTTGCAGTGAACGTTGGCATACAAGCCTCTGAGTCACTGTTTTCACTTTTTTGGGGTACATACATAGGTGTGGAATTGCTAGGTCACATGGTAATTGTATCTTTAAGGAAGTGCCAAAAGTGGCTGCACCATTTTGCATTCCTATATCAGTAAGACACAAGGATTTAAATTTCTCCACATCCTTCCTTACCAGCACTTGTTTTCTTCTTGTTATTATAGTCAACCTAGTAGGTGTGAAGTAGTATGTCATAGTGCTTTTGATTTGCATTTTCCTAATGACCAATGATGTTAAGCATCTTTTTATGTGCTTATTGGCCATGTGTGTATCATCTTTGGAGAAATGTCTGTTTAAGTCCTTTGCTCATATTTTACCTTAGTGGTTTGTCTTTTTGTTACTGAATTGTAAGAGTTCTTTATATATTCTGGATTTTAAACTCTTATCAGACATCATTTGCAAGTTTCTTTTCCCCATCACATGTTTTAATGACACTTATTTATAAGCTGTTTTGCTTCTTTTTGACACTTTTTCCCCATGATAGCCCCATTGCCATTTCCTTCTCCTTTTATGCTTTTAGCTGTGTGGCTCACGGTTGGTCAAACTAAACCTGCACCTCCCTTTACAGTAGTGGCATGGAGGGCAGACCAGGTTGCCCTCCCTGTGTAGAAGGTGTTGAGAGAAGAATGTGCAAATCCCAATCACTAAACGTATTTGTTTCTCACTTCTCCTTTACTAGGAATTCTGTTTGGCTCCTGAAAAAAGAGTTTTTGTTGGTCTAATTAAGAGGCTCAAGATTGCACCATCTAACTTGGGCTATGGCAAAGACAGCAGGGTTTGTTGTTTTTTGTTTTGTTTTGTTTTTAATGTGGCATTGAAAAAAGAACAGTTGGAATGGGCATTTGCTTTTGAGAATATTTGATTCTATTAAAGATTAATGTGTAATCCAGGAAAGCTTTTAATATGAAAGTATAGATAACTAGGTAGTAAACAGTTTGTTAAACATAGGCAGAATTCATAATGAGTTAAGATAAGTAGAAAATAGAGCATGTGTTAAACAAGAATCGAAAGGAACAGAGGTCTGCGATACCCAGGATTTTGATTTTGTTTCGTTTTTCCTCTTAGGAATGTGTAGTTTGCATACGGCCTCAATCATCTTGGGTGTTGAATCATCTACTTTGATACTTATGTATGAACAGATTCTCATCACAAATTCATTCCTCAATATTTAGAATGCCCCATATGCCACGTATATATTCCCCCTCCATTTGTTGATATAGTAGCCATATATTGAGTTTTCACTGTATGCCAGGAATTATTCCAGATTCTGGAAGCTGGAAGGAAAAACACGATTCTTGCCCAAAGGACAAAAGTTCTGGTAAGTAATTTATTGCATGCAATGGCCTAGGATGGTTGGGGCACATTTACTGATGACTTTTGTAAAAGATTTGAGTTTTGGAACAAAGGATAAAAAGACATTTCTGGCAGAAGAAATAGAGTGTTATCTTGTTATCAATTTAAAAAGACTCAGCTGCAAGAAACAAAAAGCAACTCTGGGTATCTAGAGGGGGTAGATTTATGAGAAGGACACAGGTGTCTGACAGAAGTCAGGGCAGGCAGATAACCAGAACCCAGAAAGGGGTAGGGTGCAGCCATGGCAATCTCTCACTCTTGCTTCTGACTCTGCATGTTTTCTTCATTCTTTCTGCAGACCAACCTCTCATTTCTCACTCTGCATCTACTCATCCATTTAGCATGCTTATTGAGCACCCATTGTGTGCCAGGCATTGTTCTAACTGCTGCATTAAAATCCTAACTCTCATAGAAATTGCATGCTAGAGTGAGAGGTGACTATACCACTAGGAAGTTACATGGCATGTTAGGAGGTAAGTGGCATGGAGAAAAATAAGCTATAGAGGGAAATGTAGATGAGTGCAGTTTTAAATGAGATAATCCAGAAAGGTCTGGCTGAGTTGATATTTGAATAGTCTTAAAGGTGATGAGTGGGGGAGTATCTAGGGAGAGGGTTCCTGGCAGATGAAGCTGCACATGTGAGTGCTTAGAGGTAGGAGCAAGGAGACTGGAGCAAAGGGAGAACGGAATACAGAACAAGGGCTGTGAGGTAGGTGTATAGGGCTTTGCAGGCCATTGCAGGAGATAAGGGAGCCATTGGAGGGTTTTGAGCTGAGGAATAACACAATCGGACTTGTAACAGGAGTTCTTCTGGTCACCATATTGAGAAGACACTAAAGGAGTTAGGTCATCTCTGCTATGTACTAACTTTGTGACCTTATACCAGTTAGATAACCTCTTTCTCCCTTAATTTCTTCCACATTTAAAATCAAGAGATAATAGTCTTTGCTGATAGGGTTGGTATGAAGATTAAATGAGTTCCTCTATGTAAAGCATTTCAAACAGTGTCTGGCATATAATAAGCACACGGTGTTTTTGCTAATATTACTATGGCTCTAACACATGAGGTCCTAGAATATGTGGCATATAGTATAGTTAGAAAAAAATGGCATTTTTTTCATAATCTCACTAATTTCTTAGAGAAATGTTTATTGAATGGCAGATATCTCTTTTTAAACAAAGCTATAACCCTAAAAACCTAGAAACTGGAAATGGAACTCATTTCCTCACACAATCTTGCTTATACCCCACTGACACATTTGTGGTTCAGGGTTCCAGTAATTTCAATGGGCTTCTAATAGCTTAATCACACTAAAATGGTTTTACACAATGAAGGAAACCATCAACAAAATGAAAAGACAAAGTACTGAGTGGAAGATGTTCACAAATGATATATCCAATAAGGAGTTAATATCCAAAATATATAAGAAACTGACATAACACCAAAAACAAAACCCACAATCCAATTAAAAACTGGGCAGAGGAACGGAATAGACATTTCTTCAAAGAGGACATAGAGATGGCCAACAGACTTATAACTGCGTAATATCACTAACATCAGATAAATGAAAATTAAAACATCATGAGATATCACCTCATAAATGTTGGAATGGCTATCATTAAGGAAAAAAAAAAAAAGTGCCGAAGAGGACATGGAGAAAAGGGAACCCTTGTGCATTGTCGAGATTGTAAATTGGTACAGTCACTATGAAAAATGATATGGAGATTCCTCAAAAATGTAAAAATTGAGCTGCCATATGACCCAGCAATACCACTTCTGGGTAGTTATCTAAAGAAAACAAAAACTAATTCAGTAAGAAATGTGCACCCCTATTTCATTAAAGTGTTATTTACAATAGTCAAGATATGGAAGCAACCTAGGTGTCCATAGATGAATGCATAAACATGATGTGGTATACACACACACACACAGCATATATGTATATATACTCAGTAATAAAAGGAATGAAATCTTTGTATTTGGGACAACATGGATGGACCTAGAGGATATTGTGCTAAGTGAAATAAATCAGTAAAAGACATACCGTATATGACTTATATGTGGAATCTAAAAAACACATATAAACAAACACCCATAGAAACAGCAAGCAAAAGGGAGAGGCGGGGATGGGTGAGGGGAAAAAAGTTGAACTAAAATATGTTAATGCCAACTAGAAACATTACTACACACAAATCATTGTGTGGAACTAATTGAAATGGAGCAGAAACCAGCTCCTTTTATGATTTTTTTGCAATTGTGCTGGTTGAGATATGGAATAAGCAATGTGGCAAGGCAGTCCATAGGAGAGTATAAATGTGATTAGTACAAATTGGACAGAATGTGAAAAAGTCTTGGGAAATATTGTACCAAGTCCTTTTGGTTGCAATTCAGAGACCCTATTTTATGATATCTTATGATGGACCGCACACACACAAAAGAGCTATGTGTTTTTGGTTGAGGAATGACACTATTAAGAGGCAGAATAATGTGGATTTAAGGGTAGGGGACAGGCCTTTTTTCAAATACAGCTCTACCAAGGACTAGAACGGTAGGAAATTTAATTTTCTGTGGTTCAATTTCTTTAAATCTAAAGGGGCAGAAGGAGGATCATTGGGGATATAACTTAAGGTTTGCAGCTTGCACCTGTATAGAGAGGAATGAATTGCTAAGTCGATCCCAGAGGTTAAAACAAGACTGGTTTTTCAGGAGAGTCTTCTATTAAGTTGATGAGGGTCTGGCAATTCCAGTAGGAATGGTCAGAGTTCTTAGTCATCAACTTTGGTGGTTTAGAATCAGCTATGGTAAACACTGATCTAAAATTAGCTGCTGCAAGTAAAAAAATTTTCTTTTATAGTATATATGTGATGCAATTTCCTTTCTACTCAAGATTATATTTATAAGATTTATCCATATTGATACTTGTAGAGGATGACACCCAAATTCTGGTGTACAGCAAAGGAGTGAATGGGGCAGGAAAAGCAGGGAAGAGAAGCAGATCTGGAGTGGGAGTAGAGATAATGTGTGGGCACTGGGACAATGAAGACGAAGTAGGAAATACTTAATTTACCCTCTCTCCCCCTTTAAGATGCTTTTAGATTAGCCTCAATCCTAAAACATATGCTCAAGTGAGACAATTGTCTAACCTGTGGCCACCATATTCCCTACAGGTAGAAAGTAGTCCGTTCCTATTGCAGGGAAACAACATGATGGAGAGAGGAGGTGGGTTGGGTGACAATCCTCCCAGATGGCCTGCATCTAGCTTACACCTAGTAATGTGTCCCTCCATTAAATGAGTCCAACTCATCCTCAGACGTCCTCTTCGTGCTTCGGTGGCCTCCTCCACTGGCCTGGCCCAACTCATATTCGGCCTCTTGCAAGCCCCGACTCAAACTCTGAGTTTCTGGCATTTGGCCAGCAAGGATTGGCGCTGGAACTAGCCTTGGTGGGGCCTGTCCGCGTCCTGCCCGCGCCCTGCTGGGACGTTCAGCGCTCGCACTACGATTCTCCGCCCCAAGCCCCGCCCCACGTCCGCCCTTTTCTATGCCCCGCCCCGTTTCCAGACGCTGAACGCGCGGCGTGCAACTCCACGCCTCAAGCCCCGCCTTCACGCTCCGCTCCGCCCCCCAACCCTCCCTGTCACGGGGTCGGGGAGCTCCCATTGCGACTTTTCCGGCGACATTTTCGGCTCCAGGAGTCTGCCTGACGGTTTGCACGCCTTCGTCCACCGCCGCAGACCTTCGGGGAAGCGGTTCGGGTACTTGGAAATTGTTGTTATATATGCCAGTTTTGACTTTTTGGAATTATATAAGAGGTTTGCTGCCTCTTGCTCTTCGTCCCCTTGCTTCAGGCGGGGGCTTCGTGGCTGCTTTTCTATTCGCGCATTTTCTGCTTTCCTCAAAATAGGTTGTGAAGCTTGTGGAAATCTTGAGCTCTTGAGGCATGTATGCTTGCTGATATAGCGTAGTGCTGCTTGGTTGGCTGGAGGTTTTATTGCTTTATCGCCTTAAAAATCTCGATATGTCAATGCCACTTTGAATTAATGATTCTGGGTGAGATCCCAGGCCTCCTCTTTCTATAGACACTTAGTTTAAACAAAACAAATGGAGTATGTGTTGCTTTCAATCTTAGCGTCACTGGATAGCAGATGTATTTATACAAGAAATTAGGAGTTGCTTTGCCAAGGGTGTAGTGTCGTAATCATGACTTGAGTTTTCCTGTGTTTTATCCTCCTTCCCCCTCCACCTCCCACTCTAACTAAAGAACTGAGTTGAATGCAAAAGTGAATAATCGTTTAAAAGCCTTACCAAAAAAAAAAAAGCCTTAAGTATTGAAATAATTTGATTCTTTGGACAGGAGCGAAAAGCAGCACTTTCCTTCCCCCCACCCCCTACGCAAAAAAAGGGAAAATTAAAATAGTTGAATTAAGGGCACAGGAGATACTTGCTTTCTAATTTAGTAATATATAACTTGTTTAACTATTGAACAGGTTAACTGATTACCTATACAGAACTGGTCAGTGAATTTTGCTTATTTTCTTGTGGGCCTGTGTTATTTGAATTGAAGTTATTACAAAAATGGTATTTATTCAACATTTACTATGTGCTAAGCACTTTTACATATTACCCCACTTAATGCCTACAACAGCCCCAGGAAATTTGTACCATTGTTCTCCTCATGGTACAGTGAAGGAAACAGGCTTAGAGAGGTTGAGTAGTTGCCCATTACTTTTAGTTGTTAAAGAGTGGAGCTAGAACTTGGACCCACTTCTTTCTGACTGCTGGAGAGCTGTGCTGTTAACCACGTCTGATCCAGCCCCTCCTCTGCAGGTGCAGGCCTGGTGTAGTCTCCTGTCTGGACAGAGTGAAAGGGAACAATGCAGAAGGACTCCGGCCCACTGTAAGTGTATAGTGAATGGGAGTGTTATAGCCAGAGCTTCTGGAAACCAGAGTTCTTTTTCCCATCTGAAAAGAGCCCTAAGAGTAGACTGCCTGGACGGTATGGGGTATAGGAGGATGGACATGTAGGCCAGGGTTTGAGTCCCAGCTCTGCCACAGACTAGTTGTATAGTTAGGCAAGACATCTAACCTTTGGGCTTTATTTTCATTTGTACAAGGATAGGATTGTTCTGGGTTGATAATCTTTTAGTTCCATCCTATGATTGAATTTGTTTTTGTTTTTTAAACATGGTTGGCACTGATATCTTACTCCTGTTTTTAGAGTGCCTTTACATTGGATTGGCTTTGGCTATGCAGCACTGGTTGCTTCTGGTGGGATCATTGGATATGCAAAAGCAGGTATGATTTGTGGTTATTTAACCTCTTAAGATCTTCATGTTGTTCCTGATGAAGAGAGGGAGTCTGCAGAGTCCCCAAAGTGCAGTCTTGAGTGAATTTTGCTTTAGGCCCTTTAGCTTAAGTGAAGGCTTATCGTCAGTCCCATAGCTCTTCCTACAGTATCTCCCATTGCACTTGCCTTTCAGTTATCTGGCTGAGCTAAGCCAGGCTTCTTATCAAATTACTTGTTTTTGACTGTTTATCTACAGATGCTGGGCAGGGATGGTAGTCGATTATTATTATCATCAACTGCCATACATCAGCCTTGACCCCAGAGTGCTATCTCTGTGGTCTTTAAGTAGCAGGAGTCTTCACATACTCATTTTTTGGAGTCTCCTTGTTAAACTAGACACGGATGTGGTCAGAGAACGTGCTCATTTCTATCCCCTTCCATATCTCCACCCAGCACATGCATGCAGGTGCATTCGCGCACCACGCACACACACCAGAATTCTTATTCTCCAAATCATTTTTTTAAGTCGCTGACCCTACCTGCTAGAGGAAAGATGGATGGTGTAGTCTGACCTTGTCTTCTCTGGTGATTTTACCAGGGCTATTTAGCAAACTCCTGAAAACATTTTGTGCTTGAGAACTTGGTTGTGAACGGTGTTGAAAGTTCTCTTTGCTAGTTTCCTCTGTAGGGAAGGGAAGCCTGGTGGATTCTGTTAATGAAATAAGTATCTGACATTACAGTGCAGGCATGTGTTTGCTTTCCTCCAGGTAGTGTCCCATCCCTGGCTGCTGGGCTCCTCTTCGGTGGTTTAGCAGGCCTGGGTGCCTATCAGCTTTCTCAGGATCCAAGGAACATTTGGGTTTTCCTAGGTATGTCAGCTTCCCCCTGGGGTAAATATGTATCCAGAATGCTCTGTCAAAGGCCCTGGTTTGGTGGGATGTGGCAGGTTCTTCACATTAAGACAGTTTCACTGCTTCTGCCAAGTCCTAGAGAAGTTTTAAAATGGAGGTGGGTGGGGCAGTTGTGCTGGTTTCTGCTTATCTTTTATGTACAAAATATGGAAAGGTTTTTATACATCATGAATTTAGATTTACCCAGTGAAATTAGTATGAAACTCATATAAGGCAAGTATATACCTTAATCATTGTGATTGCTCACTGAAGGCTGTCTGCTTGAGCATCACTAAAAGGTCACATCTGGGTTAAGTTTTCATCAATATTAAATTTTTCCCATTTTAAAATCATTAGCCCTTTAGCAGTAAGCTAAATGCAAAAGACAGACCTTGCCTTCAAGGAGCCTATACGTTAATTGGGGACATAAAAAGTGGCTCTGCAAGGCTGCTGAAATGCTTTGTGAGTAGCACAGATAGGAGTACAGAGAAGGAAAGATTACTTCTTATCAGGGTAGCTTTTGAAGTGTTTTTATTGAGCTCACCTATATGTCAGACACTGCTAAGAGTATGGGATCCTCACTTCCTCCACAAACCTATAGTGTGAGAAAATGTGCAGTTGTGGCCATTGCAAGTGTGGTGGGGAGAATAAGCTTATTAACAGGATGGTTTATACAAGTCAGTGTAGTCTGGGAGGGGAATCAGCGATTCCTGATTTGAGGCATGCAGCTCTCAGCTCTGCCTAATAGCTCCCTCACTCAAGCTGTGGAATGATTTTCAGACCTCTTTTTTTTATTTGTGATCCTGCTGCTTCAGTCTAACAAATCACCCTCACTGTCTACTTAAAGAAAAAACAGCAGCCATCATTTGGAGACTCCACGCCATTTACTCCCAAGCCTTCCCTTGTCCTGTTTCTCCTCTAAGGCCAGTCAGCCTCTCCCCACCAGCTTTAGGTCTCTTCTTCAACACCTTGGAGCTTACAATGTCACTTGACACTTACAATGTCAGTGATGCCATCTCTTATTTGTATTCTACATTTCAGATGGATCCCTCTCACTGATGTTCAAATGCGCTCATTTCACTCATTTAAAAATAAAAGGACTTCTCGTGGCCCCACCTCCTTTTCCAGTTACTGTTCTTCCCCTTCAGAATTTCTCTAAAAAAATTTATTATACTATCTTCATTTCCTCACCTTTCAGACAGTCACCATTTCTTTCCCCTGTCCTGGGAAATACATAACTCTACCTGACGCGGCCAGTGACCTGTTTTTTTCAAAATCCAGTTTACATTTATTAGTCCTCATTTAATTTGGCTGGTTAGCTGTTCTCAGCTGTACACACCAATCCATTATTCCCTATCCTGGCTTTCTTTTTTATTTTGTCATTCTCTTTCATTGGCCCATCATCCTTTTTGGCCACTAAATATTAAAGTTCTTAAGGTCTGATTCTTTATCTTTTTTATACTTTCTCACTTGATAATGTCATAAAAGCCCAGGCCTTAAATGACTACTGATACACAAATGACTCACAAATTTTTATCTCTCCAGGCTTTACTCTTACATATACAATTGTCTACTTGAAATCTTTTAGATGTTTCAAGGCTGACTTCATGTCCTCACACACACTGGGTCTTTTGGTGTTCTCCATCTATTCAGGTCTTGATTGTACTCTCTCCCTTCATCTTTATGTCTTACTCATCAAGTGCCATCAACACTACTTTCAGCACATATCCTAAGTTGTCTCCTTCTCTATCTCCATGGCCAGTATCCCCATCCCAGTCATCCTTCTCTCTTCTCTGCATTTCTTAACGTGTCCAGTTTCCCTGCAGTTCTCCATTGTACAAGATGAATTATATTTTCAGAATGCAACTTGCCTTAATGTCCTTTAATGGCTTCTTATTGCTCTTAAGATGAAGACCACAATCCCTAATACGGCCTTCAAGGCTCCATATGGTCTGGCCCTTCTTCCTTGCTAGCCAAGTCTTGATTTCTGCATTACTGGCCTTTCGCCACAGGGCTTCGCATATATTATTCCATCTGCTAGAATGTGCTTTGCCTCCCCTTTAGCTCATTAACTGCTCTTTAGATCTTGGCTCAGTCTACACTTCCTTAGCAAATCCTTTCATGGTCTCCCTGAATATGCTGGGTCCCCCATTTATCATGTTATTGTATTGCATTAATTATACCTGTAGCACAAATTATACTTTTTTAAAAGTTTTTATTTGTTATTCTTTAAGGTCTGTTGCATTAAACTGGAGACACTGTTAGGGCGGAGACCTTTTTGATGACAGTTCTTTTCAACATCTAGTACAATAGGTATTTTAACAGATGTTGAGTGAGAACAGCATACAGGGTAAATAGAATTGGCAAGGAACAGGAAAAAATCTTATAGCAGTTTTGGAGGAAATGAAGAAATCTATGTCTGAAGAGTGTTAGGAGATTAGGCTAGAAAAGCTGACTGGACCCAGTCTGTGAGGGCCTTATATTCCAGTTTTTGTACTTAGTCCCTTAACAATGTTGGTGGCCAGTAACGTTCCCCCAAATTGGGAGGTAAGAGATGGGGTATGGCCCTTGAAAGATGGGTGGGACTTTGGTCACTTTTAATTCTCTCAAATATAAGATTTAATGATCTTTGACTCTTTATTTTTCTCATCAGTTACATCTGGAACCTTGGCTGGTATTATGGGAATGAGATTCTACCACTCTGGAAAATTTATGCCTGCTGGCTTAATTGCAGGTGCCAGGTACTTTCTGTTTTATTTCTGTTCTTTACTAGTATGGAGTTTACTAGTTCACTAGTTTGGGCCAGAATGCCCCAAATATTTTGTACATCCATAAGTTTACTTGTTTCAGTATATCTGATGCTGATTTAATGTCAAAGTAGCATAAGTATATTCATTCACTATGGAAATAGTTGCTCTCATACTTGCTCTCTGGTCCATCATGGCTCCTCCCTACAGTGGAAGAAGCTTCAGTGCAAAGCCATGACTGCAGCTCTTCTGTGACTTTCAGTGTGGGTTCTATATTTTTTAGTTGTATGGGTGCCCTTTATTATTGAAAATAATGATAGCAGGGAATTTTGATTGATTCCTGTTTTCTTATTAACTTCGATTATAAAATCCAAACCAGATTACTTTTTAAAAAAATACAGTCCTTAAGCATACATAATAAAGAGACTCTGAAGATAAGGGAATTTTAAAAAACCTGTTTTGGGAAAAGATTACTTACCAGACTTTGATCATAGTTATGATTCTGTCAAGCAAAATGTTTTATAGTCAGTGTAGACCAAGGCCAAGAGCAATAATCCACAAGGCTGCTGATCTACCGTCCATTAGCTAGCTCTGTGACTCTGGGGAGGCCTTGGTCTCTCCAGCCCTCAGTTTTCTCATCTCTGAATTATTAGGAACTCCAACTCATGTGGTGTACTGTTTTAAGGCCTCAGCACAATATTGCCCCTTGGCATGGTTTTTCTTTGGTGCCTTCTAGGGTTGGAAGTTCCATCTCTGTCTGCTCTGCCATGGTATCTACTCCCCATGCAGTGAGAGAACTGTGGAGTCCTAGTCCTTTAATAGTCAAGTACCTGTTCTGTCCTTTACCTGACATTTTTGTTTATGTGTGTGTTTTCCTTTTAACAGTTTACTGATGGTCGCCAAACTTGGAATTAGTGTATTCAGCAGACCCCATCAGTGACAGTCATATCCCAGCTTGGACTCATGAAGAATTTTAAAACTTCCACTACTTTTAGTGTATTAAGAGAAATAAGTTCAGGATTTTCACATATTCTGACATTTTACTTAAAAACAAAACAAAAAAGGAAAAAATAATACTGAACTTTGCAGAGGAAAAAATCAGCCCTTATCATTACAACCTTAAAGAGGTGGGTAGTATATAATGCAAGAGCTTATTATTATAATATCCTCATATAGTTTGATTTTTATATGTTGATATCTCTTTCTGTATCTTTCCATAAAGTCTCAAGGGGTTAAATGTTAGCTGTCAACATTGCGGGCTCTGAAACCCCACACCATTCTTCAAGGAACAGTAAAAAAAAATCTCGTAGGAGATTTTGTTCTTTTGCTCACCTGTCTGTTCTTTTGCTCACCGTAGAGCACAGACCTACTTTGAAATTATGTTAAATGAAATATCAATGAAAATAAAGTTTACTATAATATTTTCTATGTTGTCTTCATTGCCAGAACTGTTTAGAACATAAAATGAGATGTGGATAGCAGGAAGACATAGGAACATGAAAGCGTTTTATATATATTTACTTAAGAATTACCCATTTTGAATAAAGACCAATAATGACAATTATTATTTGATTACACATTGCATTGAACTAGTTTTAAAAATGATCTGCAGTAAGTATTTCTATTCTAAGATTAGGACTGTGTAAGCAAAGGAAAAAATAAAATTTGGTTAACTAGTTAATCTGTAAATGTGAAAATAAAAGACCTGTCTGGGACTCAGATTACCTAGGTTGGTCTCTAATTTGGACACATTAACTGGATACTGATACATTTTCACTATTGTTTTTTTAGCATTGAGGATTAACTCATTTTAACCGAAAGCGGTATCTGCTACTTCCGCCTTAACTGGTATTGAATTTAGAGTATAATTTAGTCACCTATTAATTTTATGTATTTGCTTAAGCCTCTTGAAAACAGCCCTAGTTTTCTCATCCTTGTTTTGTGCCAGGATGCATTCTTAAAGCATAATGCTTAGAGATCTACACAAGGGGATGTGACCAGAGCACAGTAATCTAAACCATGCACTTCTCTTAATGCAGCCAGGGTCAGAAGAAGATTTTTCGGCAGCCCCGTCACAGCAAAGACTCATTAAGCTTTTGGTCTACGAGACCCCCAGGTCTTTTTCTCACATAATGCTGTTAATAACTACTCATAGGTAGTGAAAGGGTTAGTGCTTGATGTCACATACTTGCAAGTACTTAAAAAATTGATTTAGTTCCTGGCATAATCAATGATTGCCTTTTTAAAACACAATTATGAAATTCATGAAATTAAATATGAAATTAAATAACATTTAAAAACAGTTCATTAATATGTGGTATGATTTCATGTCCTGGTGAATCAGATTATCATGATCTTCTAAACATTAGTCCTGTGCAGTCTAAAAGAAAATGGACAAAGAAAATCAAGCAGAACTTTTCTTTAAACTGATTTTTATAGAAATGCAGAAGAAAAAAATGAGTCGTAGCTAGTGTTGCAAAGGTCGGAACACTCACAGGTGGCCTGGGTGTCCTCTTGAGCAGTGAAGAGCTGTCTGTGTATTATGTATGTTTTCAGAGCTTACCTCATTATCATGCTTGTTTCCCCAAACCTTGCTACTGTGTGAGTGCCAAGTAGAAGTGAGTATCAGTTATGACTTGCTGATCCCCAAATGTTTGAATCATATAAACTGTAAGAGCCAAGGCACAGAAAAAGATTGTTCTAAATAAAAAAGTAATACTCTTATTATCAGAAAGACACATGTTGGGTTCTAAGCTAGCCCTTGGGTGGTTGTCATGATAAATAGCTACTTAAAATGTTATGGGTAAATGTATTTAATAATCCTTGTCGATATTTTCCATCCTCTAAACCCAGCCACATGTGTATGTGTGTGACCTATGTACACTCTCACATACAAGCTAATACTTAGCTGTTGACAATTAAGGGCACTTATGTTGTGATAATACAGGCATCAGAAGGCCATAGACCATCGAAAGCTACCATCCTTCTAGGCTTCCATAGGTATGATTTTGAATCTTAACGTGGGCCCTGGTTTTTCATCTATCCGGAGTGTTTCCAAATAGCATCAGTTTGGGCCTTCAGTTCTAGGGGAGGGGCCCCAGCATCAGACTGACAAGGTTCCCTGAAGGTGGGAATTAGTTTAGGTCAAAAGTAGATCACCAGGATGTGGTTCCATAGTGTAGCGGTGAGCACTTCTGCTTTACACACAGAAGGTCCTGGGCTCGCACTCCAGTGGAGCTGGAGCCACAGTCCATGGTCTACAGCCATGCTACCCTGAACAAGCCCGATGTCTGATCTTGGAAGCTAAGCAGGGTCGGGCCTGGTTAGTACTTGGATGGGAGACCACTTAGGAAGACGAGGTGCTATAGGCATAAATAATAATTTAAAAAAATAAAAATAAAGGGGATCACCAGTGGTCAGCTCTAAAAGTTCTAAGGCTGCACACAGACTGAGGTGACTGTGGGGAGAGGGGTCTTTATTGCCAGGCAGCCCTGAGAGTGCCCTTACCTAGTCCCTCCTCCTTTCCCCAGCCCCTCCTCCCCCAGCTAAGTTCCCCTGAGTACTAATTGTCCTAAGATTGTGCGGGGTCTTAGAAGGAAAAGAACAAACCTTAGCTTGCCCTCATGGAGTCTAGTGGAGAAGACTGGCATCAAAACAAAGGCAATTTAGAAATACATAATAGAGGTAGATATATATATCATCTTAGAGGCACAAAAGGAGTTGTCAATTTTGTTTAGGAGTCTAGGAGAGCTTCATAGAGGAGGTGATTGAGGTGAGCCTTGAAGAATGAGGAAGTCATAGACAAAGTCTGACAGATGTTGCAGGTACAGAAGCAGTAATATGTGCAGTGCCTTAGAGGCACGACATGAATCTGGCACAATTGGGTAATTACAAGTTGTTTGGTGTACCTAGCTTAGAGGACGTGAGGTTGGCTACAGCAGGAGATGAGACAGAAGGCCAAGGTCAAATCTAGATGGCTTTGGTACGTCCTATAGAGTTTGAATTTAATTCATTTTCCTCCTCATGTTTGTTGTTATTTGTTTCTTGTTGATTTGTGGACGCTTTCCATATATGATGGGTATCCTTTTTTATATATTGCATTTTCTCCTAGTCTATTGCATGTCTTTTTTATGGTGTCTATATTTTTGCATAGTCAGGTCTATTACCTTGCTTTATAAAATTCTCACTCCAAAATTATAAAAATATTCACCTAGTTAACAAAGTTGTTTAAAATTGGGAAAAAATATTCTTGTAATAAAGAATGCGTGCAAGACAGAAGAGTGTACAGTAAAATTAAGTCTCCTCCCCATTCCAGACCTTTAGTTTCTCAACTTAAGAGGTAACATTATTTACCTTATTTATAGGCTCAAAAATTTTATGAGAATATATAGCATATAAATGTATCCTTTTTTGGTTATTAACATAAATGAGGCACAGGGTAAACACAGTAATATACTTTGCTACACTGTGCTACACTTATACCTTTTCTTTATCTGGACATAGAGACTTACCTTATCATTTTTAATGGCTTTTTAATTGTATGAGTTTACTGTCTAGTTCACCGTTCCCCTACAGATAGAAAGTACCTTATTTAAAGCCTTTTGCTATTACAAAGAATGCTACACCAAGGAACATCACTATCTAAATGTTGGCGCACATGTGCAAATGAATCTTAGGTTATATTCCTAAAAGCTGAGTCAAAGCAGATGAGTATTCAAAATTTTAATTGTCCCCAAAAGAGTTGCACCAATTTACATTCAGCAATAGTAGTTGAGGGATTTTGTTTCCCCACCTTTGCTAACACTGTGATTATCAGACTTTTTATCTTTGACAAATTAAGCTAGGAGTTTGTGAACTTTTTCTATAAATGGCCAGATAGTAAACATTTTAGAGTTTACAGACCATATGGTCTCTGTCCACCTACTCAGACTCAGCGTTGTAGAACAAGTCTCCATAGACAATACATCAACAAGTGAGAGTGGCTATGTTCCAACATAGCTACATCAACAAGTGACAGTGGCTATTTATGGACGCTGAAATTTGAATTTCAGGTCATTTTCACATATTACAAAATACTAATCTTATTTTGATTTTTTAAACCATGTTATTTTGATTAAAAAAAAAAAATTCTTAGTTTGCCAGCTGCACAAAAAAGGCAACGGACTGGATTTGGTTCACTGACCATACTTTGCCAACCCTTGATCTAAGCCAAAAATATTATCTATCGTTTTAATTATTTAGTTATGACTTATTAAGCATCTCTTCATATACTTATTGACCAGTGATATATATTTTTTTCTCTGCGAACTGCCTGTTCATATTTTTTGTCCATGTTCTTGTTTGTTGTTTTTCTAATTGGTCTGTGACTGTATAGTAGAAAAAAATTGTTGTTTTGTGTGTGTATATATATATACATAACATTTTGTCTTTTGATTTTTATGGTATTTTTTGTCATGTGAAAAATAAGATTTTATATGGAATCAAATTTATTCTATTTTCTTTATGGCTTTCAGATTTTGTGTTTTAAGAAAGAACTCTACATTTCAAGAGTGTAAAATTAAATTATCTTATTTTTAATACTTTTATAGGTTTTTTTTTAGCTTTTCATTTTTAGTGCCTTTAGAATTTATTTTTGTGTGATAGTGCAAATTAGGGATATGAATTATTTTCCCCCCAAAAAATAGCCATTACTCTCAGCATTTATTGAATGGTATATCCTTTATTCATTGCTTTAAAATACCACCTTTACCATGTACCGAATTTCCATATTTGGGCTAATTCTGGATTTTCTAGTCTCTTCCATAGATCTAGTTATCTACCGTCTCAGTGACAAATTACAATTATCACTGTAGATTTGTAACGTATTTTGATATTTGATAGGATAAATCATTGTTACTTTTCTTAACATATTTACTCTTCTATATAAATCTAGACTTACTTAGCCTTTAATTTTAAATTTTACTTGGGATTTTGATTATGATTGTATTGAATTGTAGGTAAAGAGGAATTTAGAGCTTTAAAATATGTACTCTTCAGTCCAGGAAAATTATATGTATCTTCACTTAATTTCATTTTTTTCTTTAATGTCTTAAAGCAATATTTTAGAGTTTTTTTCTTCCATTTAGTTCTTTGCATTTCTATTAAGGTTATTTTAGGATATTTTATAGTTTTGTTATTATGAATGGGAACACTTTCATATATATTTTTTTAAATTAGGTATCAGTCTGAACAAAATGAATTTCTGGTATTAATGTAAAAGCTTCTGTTGACTTAAGCATGTAACTTGTCTTAGGTTTTTGTTAGCTACTTTTTATCTAGTCCTATAGCTTTATGTTAAAGTTAGAAGTAATAATCTATTTATTGCTCTTGTTGACAAGACTCAGCATTGTTCTAGAGATACTAGACAAGCAATAAAACGAGAAAT